TTGGCTTTGATAAATGATTTTATTTATTTTTTTTTCATACTCTTTGTGCGTTTGTTTTTCTTCACCCCTTCCAACCATTTTCTTTTCAAATATACGTTTCACGGTTTAATTATCTGAACACTTCTTATTACATAATCTCATAATTTTTTTATGAATGTTATTTCAATATCTATATTTTTCTAATCAGAAGGGGTTTTGTGGATATAATAGTAATTTCAATAGTTGAAATCATGAGTCAATTTAATTTAGACCACCATGGAAAACCTGGAAGCACTGGCAGTCCGTTTCGTCCTAGTATGGGAATCCTCAACAATGCGCATCCACGATCCCGCCCTCCGCGAGATTCGAATCCAGGACCGATCAGTCTCGCGCGCGAGCGCTTAACCACTGGATCACTCAGCCAGCCGGCATCCAACGGTATTAATGTCTAACTTCAACTAATCCACGAAGTTGCGCCACCATCACCATTGTCTTCAGTGAGCTGATATCTCACAAGAGACCCGGTTGAATTCCAATGGTCACTGTTTCTCACCAGAACTCCAGGAAATATCTATTGAAGTCAGTTACTAATGAATAGATGACTTATTTCACTGACCTATTTCCCATGATGTAACATTGATTCAATCCCTTATTATTCTTATCACAACTAGTACACCTGTCATTACACTACCAATTTGTACTTGTCACTTATTATATTGTTCTAAATTATAATATCGAAATTTTTCAAAATTCATAATTATTATCAACATAGAAATGTTGTAAATTAGTCCAAAATTTATTTCCTTATGCAAAATTCCAGTATAATAATGAAATATATGTAAGTAACTTTCTATATATAATTTTGGACAATAAATACTAATTCAGAAAGTATTGGAACAGCTGTACAGTGTTCATAAAACCTAATTAAACATAAAATACATTTCGATTAATTCCAATTTATTTATATAACTATATAGTATACTGAATTTTTTCCAACTAGCTTTATTATTTTTTATGTATGTTTATTAAGTAAATAAATGAGGAAAAGAAAAAATCTTTTTTTGGAACGCTGATATTGAATGTTCTCAAGAATAACAATAATAATAATAATAATCATAAAGAGCTTTCAATAAATAAAGACTAATACATTTATAAGATTAATTTAAACAATCTATTTTGACATGTCTGTTTATGACATTAGAAAATTAATTGAAGTGTATATTTTTATTTGAATATCTTTATATAAAATATCTTAACAATAATTGAAATCTTTATGTATTCAGTAGTTTTATTAAATGGATAATCTTCTCTCAAATTAATATACCTAAAATGATTGGATAACTTAAGTCAATGAGAAAATGATGATTTATACAGCAATGTATTAATTGGTTTATTTTATGATGAATGGAACTATAGTAATAAATATTTATATATAGTTTGTATGTTTAACTGGTGTATAAGTTATATAATCAACTAGTCTATACATTGAATAATAAAGAAAACAACAGGACAATTAAGCTATCTGTAAGTTATAGGATAACTTTAAATTTAATGGTTAAAGATTTCTATTAAATCATTTTAATACTTTGATAAATGACATTTCAAGTGTTGATACATAAAGCTGAGATGTAATGTTTATATAAAAGTCAGTTATTCTTCGTTCCATTCAAAGTTTTAAATTTCTCAAGTCAAGTGAATATAAGAACTGTATACTTTGCTGTATAGACTGAAATTAATTATAAATAATTAAAGACCAATAAGTATTAGACATCTGTTTCGTCCTAGCATGAATCTCATCGACAGTGCATATTTACTATCCCACTAGGGACAAACTCCACAATATTCAGGTTTCTCTGACGGCGCTCAACCTTAGTATCATAAAGTTGGTATCTAATGGTTTACATTTCTAACTTCAATTCAACCCGTAGTACTGCGACACAATGTCTTAGTACCATTGGTGGGCAACTATCTCACTCCCGAAATAGCTATGATCAACTGGTCATGATTTAACGTGGGAATATTACATAGTTTGGTCCATATTTTTTCTGTTGTCATTACTGAATGGGACTATCACCAATAAAAAGGTTTATAATGCTTTAATTAATTCTGTTTCTATTATGTGTTTTTCATAGCGCCTAACAAGTTTATTAATGACAACAAATTATGTTAATCCTTTCCATAAATTTTATATTAGTAAGCGTTATTGAAATAATCAACTCTTTTTATCCACATTTCTTCTTGTAAAAAATGTGATTGATTTTCGATACTTGTTAATATTCAACAAATATACACCAACGTCTGATATCACTTCATGCATACTTGAATGAGATATTAGATAAATAAAATTTGTTCTATTTTGATTAGCGTATACAAAGGACTTACCATAAGTAAGGTTATTCATTAGATACTTATCATTCTTTTAGCCTGTCTTTGTTATATGGATACTGGGCTGCTTTGACTTCTATGGGTGAAGCTTTTTATATTATATAATCATTATCTTAAAGAGAGCAAATTTATGTCATTATCTGTAATAACTTTGATTTTAAAACAATATAGGTTGTAAGCTGCTGATGAGAACCCAACGAAACCAAGTGAATTCATATTATACTGCATCAATCTTGGCTTTTGCCTTCTTTAGGGTAATCAAGGGAACTATGTATATGAAATATTAAATGATTGTTGTAATTGACGTTTTTGTTAGAAAAAATATGATGTAAACCTAGACATTATAAATCAAAAATAAATTATCATTGTGCTACGTTATCTCATGGTTAAATACTAACAATACAAAATCTTGGTCATTACTTCAACTAACTTATTAATTAATCGAGTATATGTAAGCATTAAGCTGTCGAATATAAATTATATTTACCTTCTTGATTAGTTTAGTTCAAAATAGACAATAAGAAAACTAGAGTACATATTTACATAGGTAACAACATTTGGTATAAATAAACTAGTTTCTCTGTGTAGTAAACGAGAACACAAGTGGGGACAATCGAATGTATTTGGATACAAAATTATAGAATCTCTTAGTTATGGTCTGAGAACCATATAGTAAATACTTCATTTGCAAAATATCAGTCAATCGTCTCAAACTTCCCTGTTCCTTCGTTTCCACACCAATAATTCTCTGTTTTCGTTCTCTTTTCTTCGATCTTGGTAACCTTGTGCCTCCAGGCATTTTACTTTCGACTGACGATACATACTACTTATATCTGTCGACATCAGTAGCACACACTACACTGTGTATTCTTACTATAAGTTGTTCATATTTAATGAAACAAACCATGAATTGATTTCATTTGAGCTTGCACTAAATTACCAGAAAGTAATTTGGATATAGTTGAAAATCGCAATGAAAATAATCGAAAGCTAATCCAGGAGAATTTATCATGTAAATATCTGTACTGATTTAGCTTGTTGTAGTAGTGGTGATATTTTGAATAGCTAGATATAATTTTCATGATGTCACACTTAACAAAGTCAGTTTTGTTAAGTAAACAGTGAGTTAAATCCAAAGATTAGCTAAGACCGAATACTTTCTTCAAAGTTTGAACATAGGAAAAAATCTTTTGTATACTTTCAATAATTAGGGTATTATTGATACTAGTACTGGTATTAGTACTTGCAAGAGTAGTGATATTGAATTGAATTACACAAACTTCGGTTAATGAAGATGTTGATTGGTGAGAATAATTTTCTCATATTAAGCTTTAACTCTCTGTTAATTGATTCCATTTAATAAAGATGATAAAATGTAGCTCCTTAATTAACTCCTTATACATATAACGAAAGCATATATTTGATACATAGAAATCAGTGGAGAGATGATGATGGATGAATGCGGTCGATAGAGACACTACCATCCAACTTACTTATTTATCAGCATATATAGTTCACCTTGTCCATATAGACGAAAATATACATATATGGGAAATATACAGAGGTAAGAGGTCATGATTGATTGTATACTAATACTTACAATCTAACCAATAAAGTTACAATTGTACATGAGAAATCCAAATAATTGTTTGTATTAATCTGTAATATCAATGAAAAATATGACTAAAAGAATCTAGAAGAATCTCTAAAACTCTAGAAAGCGTTTACCTTATTAATTTATTCAAACCAATAAACAAGATTTAGATTTGCTCGATTAGAAAACAATACAATCAAACAGAATTTTAAATGAATAATTAGTAATTATTCAAGTTCATTATCATTTATGAAATTATTCTCGCTGGAAATTTAAACATTAACTTTTAAGTAGTGACAATAAATTGTATTTATAAAAACTTATAAATAACTATTCAAATATCAGAAAGGGTTTTGGGGATATTATAGAAATTTTAATAGTTGAGATCATGAGTTGATTGAAGCTAGACCACCATGTAAAACCTGGAAGCACTGGATGATCATTTCGTCCTACTGTAGGACTCCTCAGTAGTGCGCATCCACAATCTCGCCTCACGAGATTCGAACCCAGGACCAGCCAGTCCCAACATATGCTCACTAGTGATGGTCTCCAAGAGATATTTTCTAGAGTTCTAGTGAGAAACAGTGACCAGTGGAATTCAACCGGGTCTCTTGTGAGATATCAGCTCACTGAAGACAATGGTGATGGTGGCGCAACTTCGTGGATTAGTTGAAGTTAGACATTAATACCGTTGGATGCCGGCTGGCTGAGTGATCTAGTGGTTAAGCGCTCGCGCGCGAGACTGATAGGTCCTGGATTCGAATCTCGCGGAGGGCGGGATCGTGGATGCGCATTGTTGAGGATTCCCATACTAGGACGAAACGGACTGCCAGTGCTTCCAGGTTTTCCATGGTGGTCTAAATTAAATTGACTCATGATTTCAACTATTAAAATTTCTATCCAAATAGTTTTTTGGTCATTCACAATCGTAAATATATATATATATATATATATATATATATATATATATATATATAATTGTTATTATTATTATTATTATTTTCTGTAATAGCTAATCTGATGTGTAAGTATATCAACAAAAATGGATTCCAATGATTTCACTTATTGGGGTAAACAAATGATTGATTTTATATCAAATTATTTACAAACTATTCGTAAATATCCTGTTTTACCAAATGTGGAACCTGGTTATTTAAAACATTTAATACCAAATCAACCACCTGAACAATCAGATACATGGATGAATATATTTGATGATGTGAAAAAGTTTATTTTACCCGGTGTAAGTTTTAATCAATATCAATAGCAATATATGTGTATATTTAAGGATCAATTCTTTTATTTATTTTTTTAAATGTTTTATTACATAAGTTTAAAACTGATTCTTAATTATGTAATTCTGTTTTAAAAAAACAACATCATTAGAGTATATCTTGTATAGTGAAATTTGACTATTAGTATCTCAGATATTCTTAAGTGAATAGAAAATCTTATAATTGAGACGTGAAATTCAGTATATGGTAAGGTACCAAAAATATGTAAACATTATGAAGACTAGAATGTGTAGAAAAGTGATACATCTTAAATTAACTTAAGCTACAATCGATTCACACTTCTAAAAAATGATTTAATGGTAATCCTTTAATTTATGAAAATTATTCTTTTCTTTTTATAATTCCTTATATAAGCTGACGCACTGGCAACATCCTCAATTTCATGCCTACTTTCCGGCAGCGAATTCAGTACCATCAATCATGGCTGATATGTTATCTACGGCACTAGGTTGTAATGGATTTTCATGGGTAAGAAGACATTATGTGTTATGTTTTGAGTGAGAGTATAATATGATTTAGACATTTATTCACAAATAATTCCCTACACCTTTCTCTATATTTGCATTTTATTACTAATATATATTTTAAGTTAGTATAGATCATAAATATGTCACCGTTAAGTAGCCACTGAAATTTATTGCTTATAACTACTCTGGGTAACTATTCGTTTATACACTGTCTTAAATTTCTAAGCGAATTCTTATAGTTTGATCTAATAAATTGATCTGCATGACAGCTAAAAACATATAAGAATTTGTGTGTAATGCCATGTTAAAATTTAGAACTGTGTTAATCCTAAAAAAGGTGTCTAGAGTTCCAGAAATTATAGATTTGCTCTTATCAAGGCGAACAAAAAAAATAGTAATAAAATAATTTATAATTTTAAGTGTTCGTTTCCCTTTTGCAAAATCTATTCAGAATAAATGAATGTTGTTAACTTATTGTTTGAAAGCAAACAATTTAACTAAACTATAACATCATAGATCATTCTTAGTAGTAAAAAAAGTTAGATAAATGGAACCATGTGTATGAAAAGTTACATATACTTTAAAAATCACATCACAACGTGGTAGGTAGATAAAACATCTATTAAACAAGCAACCTGAAAGTTGTATGAATAGTTTTACATTATTAAAAGTTGGATTAGATCATATATAAGTAAATTATGTAAAATCCCACTAACTATTTCAATAGAACAATATAAAATATCTAAATGATTGAGATCACGAGTCAGTTGGAGCTAGACCACCATGGGAAACCAGGTTTCCCATGGTGGTCTAGCTCCAACTGACTCGTGATCTCAATCATTGAAATTACCACAATATCCACAAAACCCATCCTGAAATATAAAATATGTTAATTCTGAAGACTTGGAGTTACAGTTCTTAATTACCTATTGCATACTAAATGAATCTAATGAATTAATAATGAATGAATTATTCTTCTTTATTTTAAGTGGTTTGTTCCCATTTTGTATTTTCTTTGAGGTTGCAAGCCCTGCAATTACAGAATTAGAAATTTTGATGTGTGATTGGATTGGAAAGCTTTTAAATCTACCTGATACATTTTTGCATAGTAGTGGGATCGGTGGAGGTGTAATACAAGTAAGATCGACAAATTATTACAATAAATTATTCAAGATCATAAACTTTACCAGTAATTAGACTCAAAGCTTTGTCTATTCAATCCCTTTTACTAAAATTTAGTATTAAGTGAATTCACATAGTTTAATGAACCATTCGTTCATTCAAAAAAGTCCTCAACTATTAAATTTCGAAAAGGGATTTTTGTGAAGATTATAGTAATTTAATAGTTGAATGATTGAGTCAATTAAAGCTAGATCATCATGGAAAATCTGGAAGCACTGGACGAAGTTCTAGTGAGAAACCGTGACCAGTGGAGTACAACCGAGTCTATTGTGAAGTAGTAACTCACTGAAGACAATCGTGGATGGTGGCACGATTACATGGATTGGTTGAAATTAAACATTAACACCGTTGGATGCCAGCTCAGTGGTCTAAAGGTTGAGCATTCGCGCGAGATCTAAGTTTTCACGTTCGAATCCTGCAGACGGGATCATGCGTGTGCACTGCTGAGGAGTCCCATACTAAGACGAAACGGCCGTTCAGTGTTTCAAGTTTTTCTATGATACTCTAGCTTTAATCGACTCATGAACTTAACTATTAAATTATTAAATTTCAACCTAAATCTAATCGTTAAATTGAAAAAACTAATTTAAAAGCAGTTCAATCTAGTTGTTTTGATTTGTATGAGGTTAACAAATAAATATTATAAATATCATTGAATTTACTGATGAGTTGTATCACATGCATTTTAACATCTATTGTTCATTAATTATTTCATTTAAATAAAATAATCCACTTTATATTGTGTTATCTTTCCCATTTTAGTCTGTAAAACACTTTACGTAGTTATATAACCTGATCTGTAAAATCCTAATCCGTAGTTCTAACATTTTCTTGTCTATTTATAAACATTTATTTTCCTGACTTATATGATTAAATATAACTTAACACCTGAATACATCAAAATCATCTGGTCATTTTAAAATAGATTTCCTAAAGCTCTATTAAGAAACCTTGATTTGTACACTCAATCACATCGGAGATTATTCAGCTATTTCGAAATTTAATCAAATGAGGACAGTACTATATTGTAAATTGACTGAAGTTGAATATATACACCATTCAATAATGACAGAAGGGCTTCATGGTATCAAGATCTGTACAAGATCGAAAACTCCTGGATTCAAATTTGATAGACGTCAAAGGTACGAACTGATAAGGGATCGTAAATTCAGTAATTCTGTATATTATATCACTCTTTAATTTTATGGCTTATTTAATAGCTTTAAAAATCTCCAAAGTATCGTCTAAAAGTCTAAAGATCTATTTTCATTTTTTTGTAAAACGACCAGCTTCTTCATTGTTCTTTGAGTTCTCTGGTTCCTATAGTAATGAAAGTTGTCTTATTTTACTTGTAAATTATGTCTACTTTCAGTAGATTGTTTATTATTATGAATCATATGTGGCTGATGAGGGCAAATTAGCGATTCTTATAAGGCAGCTGTTTTGTTCTCTGCTGTGGCTCCACATCAGTGAACATATGAAACCTTACTTTGAATCGAATACACTATCTATGGGTTATGGTAGTTACGTAGAACTATCTTATAGCTTTTCTTAGATTTCGTTCTGAAAATCCGTTTTAAAAAGAGAAAGATCGGGGAAATATTTTAGGCGAAAATCTGAATTGATTAATCTACCAAGGGAGATCAGGTTAAACGAAATAGTGACTAATCAAAAACCGTTTGATTTTTAAAAAATCTGTCTACTTGTGATTCAGCAAAACGTAACACATCAATTATATGTAATAAACCCTTCTACCTTCATCTTTCTGCTGAACAACAAATAAATACTTATTTTACACAGCAAAATCTACTTCTCTTTTTAACTGATCGATACAATCACTTTTTTATTTTCAATACTTGTAGTCGTCAGCAAGTGATTGTATATTTGTATCAATGTTAGCTGCTCGTCATCAAGCAATTGAGCGTTACAAACATCTAGAAATGATCAGTGATTTAGACCCTGAAATAATAGTTCTCTCCAAACTTGTGGCATATGCATCCACGTTAGTAAGTTTAACTTCTCATTCTCGTATATTTGCTTTTATTGGAAGATATGGTGAAGTTGTGGGTTACTGATCATTCCTATCTCCTTCGAACCCATAAATATCTGGTTTGTAGATTTATGCACTTAGATTGGTACTACATTTAATTTACGTGAGGGCTAGTGATTCTCTATGTTGCTGAAAGTGAAGTACGTGAAGCATGGTTCAAACCTGCGATGTATCAGTTGAAAACTGAGAGTTTAAAGCTCTAAGACACTTAATAGCAAGTATAGCTAAGTGAATAAAGTTTAACTTGGTTATTGTTACAAATAGAAAAATGGAAGAATTATTAATTACTTTATGACCACCTTCATTCTAGAATAATCTTTTACTGTTTAAAATTTCATTTATAAATAAAAGGGTGAATTCTCTCGTATTTACACAAACACAAGGCTAGTTAACTAGTGGTTTTGATACAGCTTTTATCAAAAAGAATTATCTCAAGTATCTACCCAATGTCACAACTATGTAAGACGCTAATTAACTGCATTCTGTAAATAACCATTTTGTTTTAAAGATAAGCTATTTGAAGCTTATTCAGAGAATCCGAACAAAGCGTTATTTATATTTTTCCTACGCAAATATTTCGATAGATCTACATACACTGGTATTGTTTACCTTTAAATGATAAACCGAGGAAGCCTTCTGAAAAATCTTTGATTGAAATAAAATTGTTGGTGAGACTATAATTTATGGACGACCTTTGAGCGATGCTAAAGTAACCTTGAGAGTGTCCACTTAATTACTAGGATTAAACGAGGGTTATAAACCTGTGTGAGGAATTAGAATTATGGTTTACAGTTGATGGTTATGGTTAGGAATTCGATTTAGGGTTTTCGTCATGAACTGACATTAGCTACAATGCTAAAACTCTATTTAGCCAAATGAACGAGTGAATTTCGCTCAAAACTCCGACATCTGTTATCTTATATCTGTTTGGTTTGTCCATAGATTATAGTCTCACCGAATTGTTCCTTCTGTGGAAAATGTTTTACTTGCAATAATTTCAAATTTTCATTAAAAATTCAAATCATGTTCTTTAACTTACAAATTTTTTCATGGTTTATAGGCTCATTCAGCTGTAGAAAAGGCTAGTGTGCTTGGTTTTGTAAAGTTACGACTTTTACCGGTCGATGAAAACTTTAGTATTCGAGGTGAAACGTTACAACGTGCTATTAAAGTAAGATAAGTATTTTGTTTATAGAAAATCTTCACTTCTTACTCCTCATTATAACGGAAAATATATATTATTATAATTATAGTTATTCAGTTTTATAGCATATTAACTCAGTAATGAAGAAAAGGAGATGTCTGAGAGACCAATAGTTCATGTCCTTAATTCTGTGTTGGCTAGTGTACACACAATGTTAAAGGATCTGAAACTAAAACAAAACAGGTGTCTAACAGTTTTTATTTTTCAATGGTTTTTCAGATGATTCTTACACTTGATGGAAGCTATCTATATACTAAATAACATCTCCGTAGAACAACCCTACTTACTTACTTACCTACATTCATACATACTTATTTACTTACGTCTGTTATCCATCGTAAAGCACAGGTCATCGATTATGAATCCCTAACTAACGCTGTGCTGCCTTCGCATCTCCATTTTTTGCCATTTACCATTCATTATTTCGATATTTGAGTCTGCGTAGTGTGTTCTTTGATGTGCATATTTTCCTTCTACCTTGAGGATTCCAAAGTAGAGCTTGCTTTGTGATTCAGTTTTTGATGTATGTCCTATCCACCTCCAGCATCTTTTCCTCCCCATTTAGAAGCTGGTATTTCACTGTCATAATGAGCTGTCGATCATGGTAATTGGCCAACGGATCTGAAGTATCTTGCATAGACAAATGTTTATAGATACATGTACCCTTTTGATGACGGTTGTATTTATTTTATTTTATTATTTTATTTTAACACATAAGTATTGGTACAGGGAGGCACCAAATACATTTGCGCCACACAAATCTCAATTGATTTGTGTGAGGGCTGTGATACTGCCCGGGTGCCCAAACCAAAGCAGGTGGTTTTCTTAGGGGGACACACCCCAAGCCTTCGAACTGAACGTCTGACCCACAAGGCAGTGGAGCATCGTGAGGAGATGGAGTCCCATGGTAGCCGGTGACCAACGATTGGTTCATATGCCATTTGTTCCCTCAGGCAGGAGACTGGAGCCCATGTGCACCATTGGTTTGGGATCCGGTTAAAGCGCCAGACATTCGCTTTTCGTCCTCTCATTTTTGTAAACAACACCCCTGCCACGAGAAGGCAGTGAGTAGAACTTCCCTGGCAGAGGCTATATACGCATGGCCATGTGAGAGCATTTCGAGAGGAAGAGCGAACTCTCCCCACTCTCAGCCGTACCAGGGCATTTGGGGGCTGATGACGGTTGTAGTAATTCTCCAAGTTCCAGTTCTGTACAGTAAACCTTTTTCGACGTTTATGTTGAAGATTCTGGATTTGTTGTTGACTGAAAGTTATTTGAAATTCCAGATATTCTTCAATTGTAGGTATGCTGCACTTATTTTGACAAACAGCACTTTCATATCTGCGCCAGCTCCTCCCTGTCTATCGGGGCACATGGAAGTTTCCACTTCTAGAGCTTCTCTACCAAGTTTGATTCGGTTGGTGCTCACTGTGGTGTGTTCTTCTTGTGTATACTGATGTTTATTGCTGCAGAGGCTGCTGCTGAACTAGGTGTCTTCACCTACACTTGTTGCTGTGTATAGGATCGAAGAAATAGGTCATTATGAAGTTTAAATCGTCTATTTGCATGTAAGTTGTTTATTGTATTCTGTTCTTTCCCTGAGAAGTGAAGGTCTTCATAATCCAGTCAACCACAAGAAGAAACAAAACACATAATATCATCCCACCCTTCTGTGTTAAAAGTATTGTAGTAATGCTTCATTGTTAACACTCAGTCAAAAGGAGCGAGAAATATAGCTACTGAGAATTAATACTAATTCAAAAGAACTATTGGTCTCATCTGCTGTTTCAAATTGCCTAATGATGCCTTCATCAGTGTGTCTACTAAGTTTTTCTTGATATCTTAGTCCAAAAAATATTAGTTTCAACATCATCAAAGCCAAATTCTTTTATTTATCATCTTGTTTTCAGGAAGACAAGTCTATGGGACTTATTCCATTCTACGTAAGTTAGAAATTTTTTATCTTCACTTATTTACCTTTTATTTATGTACCGCTTTCTATTCCTTTGCTTCGTTTTATATCAACTGCAATCGTATTTCGACGATTTCAAATTACTATCACACTCCATCATGAATGGAATCATGTTAAAAATTAATTGTGAAAAAAAATGGAATTAAATACTGGATGTTTAGTGTGTTATTAGACTAAGTTTCATTATTAAAACTGTAGATAAACATTCTAAGTGTATTCATCTTCATTACCAACCGATATATAGTTGTAATAGGACCGAGACCTGAATGGAAATATTTCCTAGCTTATGATTTTGTGGATTTAGATTCAAAAAGTCATCAGATAGAAGGTGAAAATTCATTTCATTTGATGTTTACCGAACTTCAGTATCGTATGATATAGACTCCAGACGGATAGTTTCATTTCACTCAAATTTAATAAACATTTTATTTAATGTAACTGTAAAATTTACATGATGTTTTTCATGTAAATTTTAAATTAACTTATTCATGACGGGGTATGTTAATTAAGAAAATAATTTTCAAACAGTGTATGAATTTACAAGCATGATCAGTTGACGTTTGATACGTACAAAGATTTGTTTAGATACTTGTCAACTGAAATAGGTTGTCGTCAAATTCAACATAAGGATGAATATCAGCTTCAAAACACCTGATTCCTTCACCATAAGCACTGTTCTTCCGTAAAAGATAAATAAAAATCTGAAGCATCAAAATGACTTTTTATGCAATGAAGTGTTTGATAGGGATATCTAAATAACAATGAATTCGTGAATTGACTACCCTGATGGAAAATACATTAGGATAGTGAAGTTTGAAAATTGTGCCACCGTTTTCTGAATAACTTCTATAATGATGTTTTCATGATGTACCCGAAATTTGACGATAACTTTGCATTTTGATCCCTTTAGAAGAATGAATGATCAGTAATTTACAAATTTCGTATTCATCGTGAAATACACTTCGCTAGTTAAATTTAATCAGTTGTATAAACCGAGATATTCAGAATCAGCTGACTTACTAGATATAATATATTGTTAGAAAGAAACAGTGATTTGAAACTGGCACCTTAGTCTTCCTATAAAAGTGTGAAAGTGACTCATCAAATGCATGATTTAGTGAAGTTAAACTACAAGAACTCGACGCTGTAAAAGAATTTTGAACGATTTTCTAATAATGATAGACAGATGAAACAGGAAAAACAATCGACTAACATCTAGAAACATCGTTTTGTTTTAAGGTGTGTGCAACACTCGGAACAACATCATGTTGTTCATTTGACCATTTAAAATCTATTGGACAAGTATGTCGTGAAAACAATATCTGGTTACATGTGGACGCTGCATATGCTGGGAATGCATTCATATGTCCGGAGTTCAGACACTACTTAGATGGAATTGAGGTAAGTTAGGTCTCCAATAAATATCATTTAAAGCATCTTTTACTGAATCTGTTACTAAACGTTACTATCCGATAAATGAAAAAAATTTGAATCCCAGTAATGATGTATTTTCATTGTGTTTGAAACTAATTCATTTGTTGAGTAGGAAATACAACAAATTTTCGTTTAATTTTCACATGATAATTTATGGATTACAAGTGATAATCAATAAATTTTTGTTCATAACCATTGCCTAAATTGATAATTTTCCATAATGCAATGAGAAGACGAAGTTTTAAATTGATAATTGATATTCCATGGTATTAGAAATCAGTAAGTTATTCATCTAACTAAAGCCAACAGCCATTTGTCTAGAAACTTGTAGTGAACGAGAACACAAATGGGGACAATCGAATGTAATTGAATACAAAATTACAGAATCTCTTGGTAAAACATGAGAACCATACAGTTAATTCCTCATTTACAAAATGTCAATCAATCATCTCAGAATTCATTGTTCTTTCGTTTCCAAGCTAATCATTATCTGTTCTCGTTCACTTTTCTTTGATCTTCTTAACCTTCTCTCTCCAGGCACTTTACTTTCGATTGATGGTACACACTACATCAGTACCACACACTACACTATTATATTGGCTTTCCTAAATTATTTTTTTAATGTGCTAACAAGTTTGGTATTTATTGACGTCTCACACAAACTGTTTATTTTATTTTCCGATTACCACTCAACTTCTAAATTCTAGCTAGTTCATCATCACTTATCAAATTTTATAATTCTTTTGTTTGAATTAGTGAGCATGCTGTTCTTTGTATTATGATAGATTCAAATCTGAATACCATCGAACACCATTCACTATTTACATTTTTGTTCTCTTGTGTTCAGTTTTATTCCAGCTCTTTGGTTTAAACCTTAGCTAATTCTACTAAGTTTGTGTTAGCTTGCTCCGTAAACCGTTGGTTGTTTTCCACTTGAAGTAACGAGGTCATTATCGGCTAGACTAGCTTAGTGGTTTGTTCTCTGATAATGCAACTGAATCAAGTTGATTTTTATTCTTAAGTATAGGTTTTCAGGAGTCCAGGAAACTTCTTTATATGTATTACGAAGAATACTGAGAAGTTTCCCTTCATTTCCTCTAGAGGAGATTTCAGATGTCGAGTTTCTTACTTTAGTGGTCATATTACAAAATGATCCTTAGAATTTCATTATTAAATGGTATGACTATGATTGTTATCCAGTGGCCAGTTAGTAATACACATCAACTATTCTTAATTGGTTATAAGAAATACCTTTTATCTTTTTCATCAGGATGCTTGGTCCATCAACATCAATCCAAACAAGTGGATGCTAGTCAGTCATGATTGCAGTCTTATGTGGTTAGTTTGAGTGACCTTTTTGAAATTGTGCAAGAAATACTACTATAATCTTCGTTTATACAATGATTATTCAGTGCACTGATTTATTCCAACTATCTTAACTGGTACAAACTAATCCATAAAATTGAGTATACATCTAATCAACTCGAAATAAGAAATTTTACTACGATCTATGATATTTATGCCGTAATTACTTTCATTGAACAAAAATATAAGAAACATATTTGTGAACTGGATTTATTTTAATACACCACTTTGCCCTACAGTTGATATGTTTATCCATTCGATGTAAAGAGATCTCCTTTATTTTCAGATTGCGTTGCGTATTGTTAAAAAGAAAAAAATATGTTAAGGGTATAACCTATGAATTTACTGTACCATATTCATCTTGTTGTATTCTATCGATTCAAAAAGCTCAATCATTTGACATTATTTAATATTAATCCACCCGAGGTGAGTTCAACTTGCAAAAACTATCAAGGGTTTATGCCACACTATTTGTAAATTCAAACATAATTTTCAAAAGTAAATTTATTTGTAAAAGGAATTCAGTTATAAAAAATGAACTGATCTACCGAAGATTTTGTTATCAATTTGAAAACATCAGATAATGGAATCTTCGACTCAATTGACTTCTTTCACAATGAAAGATAATTTGTGTTAAGAAGCCTCAAAACATGTGCATCAACCAGGTTTGAATAAAAGTATTCTAGAATTATGTTTGCAAGAGATTAAAATTTTTGTCCGCATTTACATGTTGTTTGTGTGTAGTGCTTTAGCAGTTGACAATTTCACTAACAGCCACATCATTAAAACTACCTGTTTCTCTATACCAGTGGTCAATATTTTTAGCAATAGTTAACAACTAATGTAAAGTGGAATATTTTGTTTTTGTCGAATACAGGGTACGTGATTCGAAAGCTCTCACTAAGAGCATGATTGTCAATCCGTCATATTTGCAACATAAACATAACAGTAAGTAACATTTGGATCACTCTTTTCTTCTATTGGTATTGGTAAATAGGAATACCAAAATAATTATGCGCCACATAAATATGCAATGAGATTGTAAGGAGATCGAAGAACAAAAGTGAGTATGATTAAAAACAAGTCAATGAATGAAGAATAGTGAACGATAGTAGTACAGAGTGCAAGAAGCAGTTCACTTAAGAAAAATACAACCCGAGAAATCCCCTCGATTAAAGAAGACTGTGTCATTTTAAGAAAAGTGAGAGAAAATTACAACATGATTACCATAGACTTCTGTCCTGAGCCATGTCTGATAACATCTCAATCCACTGGGTTGCATTATCTCTGAGACACCAACTGGGAAGTCGTAATGGACTGACAAATCATAGTCCTGTGCAGACTTTATCCATACCCTGACACCATGTCATGAACTGACCACCTCTACGCTTTTTCCAACCAGTCTCAGTGTCGGCAAATAATGCACAATGTGTGATTCGTTGGGATGACATTGGTAGTACATGTGAAAGCCGCCGAGATTGGTGTTTCAAGATGTTGAAACCAGTTGAATTATTATCACTGTGACCGAGCACGCTTTTCCGAACCTTCGCACTACTATTATAGTATTGCGACTGAATGTCAGGAATCGTTCGGAGACAGAGATGAGGAAACTCAGAGAGTGGCTTAACATGCTCAACTTGGAGAGGTGGGGTTTTACAGGTGTAGAGCAAATCTTCTCCTAGTTTGATATTCCTCAGTAGGACTAAACGGCCATCCAGTGCTTCCAGGTTTTCCATATTGGTCTAGCTTCAATTGACTCATGAACTCAACTATTAAATTCCATTCGGGTTAGTTTGTCAATAACTTGCAAAATGGATTTTAATTTATTAGTACTATATGACCATTTCGTTAATCATTTTTCTTGATAGATAATAAATTTATAAAATTAATCTTTCTTATTCCTAGCGCTCGATTTTCGGGTGAGTTATTCAATTTTAGTAGTAATAGTATTATATTATTTGCACTAATTGCTTACTATTCATGAATACAGTTTTGATTAAGAAAACAAATAAATTGTGATTATAATTTTGACAGTTGCAAACACAGTTACATAGTTTGCACCTATCATTTTACATGGGATCTGAACAGAATCTTAATGTTGCTATATTTGCTGATCAATTTGTTGTCATAATATAAATAGATCAGTTTAGTTATGTTTGAAGGCTGAAAGAATAGTTAATATTTTCTTGCTGTCGGAAGGTGTTTGGATTCAAACTTACTTGTTGAAAGAGGAAAACGTATGTGAGATAGTAATAAGACATGAAAATGACATAACTATTTGAAAATCCCCCCCCCAAAAAAAAACTTATTAAGACATCAATACCTGAACGAAGAATTTTTTTCAATAAGTTCTCTCCATACCCTACAACTATATTTCTAAATTAACAATACAAGTGACCAGGCTTACGGTAAGATACATAGTTTAAAATTACATCATATGAATTTAGGATTGTTGATAATATATAAAATGAAACTGTTCATTTTGAGATGACTAATATGCAGTGTTAACTTGAATAAGCCTTTACGTGTGAATAAATATAGATAAGATTGGTAGTGTGATTAACTCGAGAACGATACTATATTTAACTGACTTGTTACCTAAATAAAAAAATTTGAACAAAGGTTTAAATAAAAATTTCTTGAAAGTGACTTTATTGAATCAGAAAATTTTCTCAACAAGATTTTATTTAAGAATAAAGTTACTTAACTACTTGAATCGTTCGGAAATTTTTTTTCAATCCCTTTGGATAATAGTTGCTATGACTACAATCTTCCAACTGCCTAAGATTTGAACAGTTAACATAAACATATAATTCTATAAAATAAATTAAACAAATAGTTTTATGATCAAATGTGTTTAGTATTCTCCTCTTCATTTCAATCACTTTTTGTAAGTCACTATTAATAAGAATTCAATATATCGTCATTTTAGTAGGATATTAAAGTTTTGTATAATTCACACATTGAAAATCAATATGGATTCAATAATCATAGGTCTGTAACTGTTGTGTTGAAAGAGATTACGAATTCACCTAGTTTGAGAACAGAATGAAAACTTAGTGACTCAATGACAAAATAAGCTATGTCGATGCGTCCCAGCCCAGCTAACTAGAGAGAGAAGTTCAGGGTCAGAAGAGGGAAATGTATTCCACAAACAGCCAGAAGCACGAATAACAGCCACAAACATAATTCAAGCGTATACATATAGCATAAAATTGTCTTTGGGAAAAGTTACAAAATAGCATATTAAAAGAGATAACGTACCGATGACATTTAAGGCCCTTCCAAGTGTGAGATACGACAGGAAGGTGAAAATAGGTGCTTTTGGGGCGAAAACAAGAAATTCAAATTTTTAAAATAGAATTACAAAAATAAGGTGTTTACCAAGTGAGTGACGAACATGTATTTCTGTTGTTTTAATAATGAAGTAAAATTGTCCTGTTTTATGATATTCAATTTGGCTTGCTAGTATTGTTTTCTTTACTAAATTTTAGCATTGGGGAATTCCTTTAAGTCGAAGATTTAGATCGCTTAAATTATGGTTTGTAGTTCGAATATATGGAGCAACAGGTTTGAGGAATTATATTAGATCAGTACGTAAGCAACTGAATTACATAAATCTCTTTAGTTTGGTTTGGCAATCGTGAATTCACTGGTTATTAATTTATTATTTATTTATTCATACACAACGAATAGAATCAAACACTAATGTCTATTTTATATTTCTCTGTTGACTAATATAATAGTTTACTGATAAAACATCTCAAATTACGAAATAATGTTAAAAGTGAAGTTAATTATCAGTCTTAATAACTAAATTAAATAATAAGCCATAAATTTTTCACATATTTTATTGTATCAGTAAAACGTTCACCATACTGACTGGATGTAAATAATCAAACGATCAATATTTCGAGGTTACCAAGTTTATTTGTATTTTCAATCACTACCCTTGTGATTAGTGTACATCATGACACTAGTCATCAAAAGCCACGTATAATTGACCTATGTAATCATTCCCTGCTCATTTTCCACAGTTAAGTTGGTACCATATATATATGAAGAAGTTAGCTCTTTTTTCCTTTCTTGAGACACAATAGATTTCTTTTGAAGTTTAATCCTTCTTCTAATTTACATCCGGTTGTAATAGCTGTGTTTTATTCATTTTATTTATCCAATAGAAATTCCGCTTCCGTATCGATAGTATCTCCATGGTTTGATTAACACCTCAATAAAAGAGCACAATGCAACTAAATATACATTGTATTACAATTTACTTATTCTGTTATGCTAGGAAATTAAGCTCACATAACTGCTCACCACTAGACTAGATGTTTCTATGTTCGATCGCAGATAAGACCATGTATCCGCACCACCGAGAAATCCCGTAGTAAAACAAAACAATTGTTCAATTCTCCCTGATTTTCACTAATAGTCTAGCTTCAATCAATGATTTAATTTATCAAAATTTAAAAAAACCTTACAAGCCCCCTATACTAAAAAAATATATATATAAACATTTCAGCATGTACAACTTGCAAAATATTTTGTGAATAAGGTGAAAACAAATAATGCTTATGAAATTGTTGGTAATCCAGCTATGGGACTTGTATGTTTCAGATTAAAGGTAGGACATTAAAATTTTATTTTCATTCTAACTTGAATACATTTTTAAAAAAAAGATACTTTCATCATTTTCCATATCACGTATAATCAGTAAATACTATTTATGGTAATGAACCAACTGTTTAGTTGTAGAATAGAATGTTTGTTTGAATGCTTAAAGAGGTGTTTTCCATTATTATTTCATTATGAAGGTAAGCAGTAAGCTTCAAAATGAATGTGAGACAAAGAAATATTTTTTTAGGTGAATTGAGTTTATTCCATAATATTTTTGCCTTCGAATGAGATGGTTGGGCCACGTGTGATGTATGCCTGGACACCTATTACCACGGCGCGCAGTTCTAACCGGTGTTAGGGATGATTGGAAGAAAGTTAGGGGTGGCCAAACCAAAACGTCGAATCAGTGCTTGAAGTCACTAACTTCTAGTCTGAGCCATGTTGGTAGATGCGGACTACCTGGTTGGGGTCCGCGTGACTATCGTAACCAATGGTTCGAGACTGCTGGTGACATGGCTCAGAATCGATCACGATAACGTCTTCCTTCAAACTAAGAGATTAAAACCACTTAACATCTTTCTAAGAACTAACTCTTTCTTCCTGTACTATCTCCTTATATGCAATCTTCTAAATATCACCCCCATTGAAGTAACTACTTCTATGAATCCGGTGTTCATCTTGCTGTGCTAACGCGGTATGGCAACTCGGACCGATGCATATATGTGCCTGGTCCTACGTTGTAGCTGACTGACTGACTCTCTTATTGTTAGAAATTTAATGGCTGGTTGTAATCACTTCGTCATATATACTAATTATCGTTTGAAATGAATTTAAATTATTTGAAAATTTCCACTTAAATATAGACTGTTATTGACAATCGAGATAACTGAGTGCAAGAAATTTATATTTGAGATATATTCGTGTAGAAAGAGGTTTGATTGCTTAATCTTTAATGAAATGAATTTTTACAGTAGAAACAACTTTTCTATCACTGATTTGTTTAGATATGAAATAGAAACACTAAGAATTTAATTGATGCTTCCTGAAAGTCTGCTGGTTATTAATGAAATAAGGCATATCTAAGAAAATATCTGATATAATTGTGTGTATGGCAAAATTCTAGTTAGATAGCATCATTGTACAATTTCATTTATTCAATTTAAACACATAATAAAAGTGCAATGTGTAATTAACATAGTTGTCTGCCGACCTACATTGATATCTCTTTTAGATATGTATGACCTATTGAATTAACGGGGCGTATATCTGCAAAACTAATTATTAAGATCAATATCTTATAATTTTACTTAAAATACACACACATAGACTGAAAATAATCATATTGTAAATAACTGTATACGACTAATTTCCACGACCCCGCCTTGCGCACTGCTGAAGAGTCCCACAATAGGACGAAATGGCTGTCTAGTGCTTCCAGGCTTTCCATGGTGGGCTAGCTTGAATTGACTCATTATCTCAATTATTGAAATTACTACAATCTCCACAAAACCCCTTCTGATAGTTATCATGTTGTCTGATGTCATATATGTATATATTATGGAAAAAAAATTAATTTATATACCCTGGAGATAATCAATCTATTAAACTGGAAATATCACGTGACGTTTCCCATATATAGTTCCCTTTATTGACTTAAAGAGAACAAGAATTAAGATTTAAGCAAGATGACATAAATTCATTGTATTTCGTAATGTTTTCAGATTTTGAAAACTTGTAATACTTACTAATCAAAATGTAGTTGAAAATATAGCTGTTTTGAATAGAAATTAACAAATTAGCATAATGTAGTCAAGATCTAAATAAATTAAATAAAGCATTATATATATATATATATATATATATATATATATATATATATATATATATATATATATATATATCGTTTTCATAAGAACACTGGAATATTGACAGTACCAAAGAACTAAAGAGCTAGAAATAAATAGTTATATAGTGAACACGCGATAATTATAAGTGGAAACTAAGACTAAAAAAGTTTAATTAACTAAATAATAAATTGTCGTCCTAAAGCGGAGTGAAAAAAATGACGGAATAAAGTGATCGAATAAACGATAGTTTGAAAAAATTTTACCATAGTAAGCACAAACTGAAAACACTCTCCTTTTGATCATATAATAGGTTACCAGCGCTTGGTAGTAATGGTTTCTGTAAATATAAGGTTAGGGCTTGGTTATTTGGTAGTATCCATCTAATATCCTGTATACAGCATAGTGGACTACTCAACTTTTTTATTTCTCTTGAGTAAAAGCCTTTTGAAACATGTTCAAAAGTATGACGTTCTATCTGTTATGTCAACGCAATTATCTTGAAAAGTAGAAGTAAATTTATAGATACGATTGGTAGTAATATAAAACGGGTACCCTCCATCTGTTGATTGAGTTACTGAACACGTCATCTTATACAAGATTATGGATTTGACTTCTGGTTAGATTCCAATCATTCTGATGTTAATATTTCTACCGATTACCTGTAGATATGAGGTTATTATCAGCGAATATGACCAGTGAACTTTCGTGAATAGGAGTAATTCCTTAATAAAATACTTGAAATTTATCGATTCTTGAAGTTTGTGAGTGATACGTGCCCTATCTACACTATGAAATAGTGTTTCGGTTTTCTTATCACTAAGTGAATTAAAATAATTAAAGTTCAGACATAAATTACTTAATGTATTTTATAGGTAACAATGCCAAGGTTGGACTTAATAGTTCCAAATAAATTGAGCATTGGTTAGAAAGTTTTTCATTTATCATACTCAAATTCCAATGCACAAATTAATTATACAGTGACAAGTCATACAAATAACATGACATTGACACTTTCAGATCTATTAGGACTTTGACTGTACTAAAAATATTCTGAATCGTTTTCATTGTAATATTTAACCTTGTGTTAATTTATTCCCGTTATTTATTTACTTTGAAGAATTGGTTTACATTAAGTCATGAGACGTCAGAAATACAGTTGTTCCACTCATTGTGATAATGTAGCAAACGAGAACACAAGTGAGAACAATCGGATATATGTCAACATAAAATTACAGAACCTCTTAGTAAAACATGAGAACCATACAGTTAATTCCTCATTTACAAAATGTCAATCAATCATCTCAGAATTCATTGTTCTTTCGTTTCCAAGCTAATCATTATCTGTTCTCGTTCACTTTTCTTTGATCTTCTTAACCTTCTCTCTCCAGGCACTTTACTTTCGATTGATGGTACACACTACTTATATCTGCCTACATCAGTACCACACACCACAGTATAACAAAAAATATATTTATTACTTCATATACTGTTTTGGCAAACCTGAAAAAAGTACGTCTCAGCAGATATTGGTGCACCAAGATGACAACATACAATATTCCAAGAGTGATAAAGTTAATATTTAAGCTTTTAGAATGACTGTTATAAAATTAACTTCGTCTAATACTGCAACATGTTGCATCATCCAGAAATTATGTTTTTTAGCATTAATCTTCTAAATTTAAAGTAAAGAATATAATTGTGTACTAGCTTTAGAGCAAAACTAACAAAATCCACGCGAAATAAATTAACGAAAACTAAATTTAATGATTTAAATCTAAGTAGCTAGTTCACATTTTACGTTGTATATCTAGTATATCAACCGCGGTCTTTAGCTATTTGATATTTAGGTCATATTTTTAAGAAATTTCACAAAAAACATTACTTTTACTAATATCAATGCAGTCATTTCTGAAAGAAAGTATCATAGATTATTGGGAAATTTTGAATAGAGGCGACTCCAAAAACACCAGAGAATTTTTAGAAGCCTAGCACTCAGGTCAATCAGCAATCAACAAGCACATTGAAATCGATCCAATTTATCAACTAAACAGGACAAACATGGGAACAAAAATTTAAACAATGGGAAATACAATTAAAACCAAGAAGTAAACAATAACAGGTTTAAGGTCAACAAGAACCAATCAACATCGAGGTCTACAGGATAAGCTGTGAACCACATGCGGAAACATTCGAACACTTCACTTCTACCTGAAGTTTGTGCTGATGTCGTTCAGAAGAACGATGAAAGCTCGACGACTGAACCATCCAGCTCAGAGAACAAAACTCCATCAATATCGTAGATTATCATATAAATAATCTAATTGTGATTAGTCTATTAAATTGCTAAATATAAATAATATTAGTGTTTTTTATTTTGATCATGATGTTTCTATTCAAAGGGATCAAATGAATTGACTCGATGTTTAGTTCATCTTATTAATAAGAGCCGGGAAATTCATATTGTACCTTCGATGGCCAGAGATATCTACTTTATTCGATTTTCTATAAATCATGAAAAAGCTTGTATTGAAGATATTGATTATTCGTGGTCAGTGATTGAAACATCTCGAAAAATACTAACCACTCAAGTGAGTACTGCTTTATTTTTAAATAAACGTATTTAAGGAATAACTTTTGAAAGGCCCTATTTTCTCTCTACTAGACACAAAACACTTGCCTATCAACTTTGGTAAAACTGTGATGAACGACAACACAAGTGGGGATGACCGAATATGCTTGAATACATAAGTATGAAATTTCTTGGTAAAATGTAAAAACCATATGTTCAATACTTCATTAGCAAACTCTCCATAAATTGTCTCAAACTTCATCTTTCCTTCATTTCCATAACAACTACTCTCTGTTCCCATTCACCTCAATTCGATCTCCCCAACCTTCTGATGCCAGGCATTTCATTTATGACTGGTGTTATATACCACTTATGTCAACATAAGTAGCACATACCACAGAATTATAACAGATTAAGTTGAATAAAAGCTAGTCAAATAGAACTTCTGGTTTTATGTCGATCCATTTCCTGGTTGGATGTCTATTGCTAAACTGTATACAAGTAAATACGAGCTCCGTAGGCTCATTAAATAATGATTAATATCAACAACAAAGAACCCCTCTTCTTCAAGTATCAATGACAGGACTAATTTCAACAGTACATTGTTGAGGCAAATTTCCCCTACATCTGACTCCAATAAATAGTATCCCGTTGACTGAGTATTTAACGCAGGCAAAATCTCCTAGTAGAATTATGGATTTACTCGAGATTATTCAAAAGCCTAAACACCAGTTATAAATATAGTTTATTGTTAAAGATTGGTAAAATCCGAAAGCGTACAGAAAGCAAGCACACAGTGAAACCAAGAGTGTGTGTGTGTTAAATGTCCATATATATTTTTGAGTGTTAACTAAGTATGGATAAATTATAGATTGTCTGTGTATTACAACCAATGGGAGAATAGATTAAAAATCGACATGTGCTCAATCAGACTCATAGAAATTTACATAGTGGATCAAGTGTCTAAATTACAGTGAGAGGATAAATAATACAGTAGTGGAATGGGCTTATTACACATTATCTGTTTCATCCTGTGAGAAACCTGTCAATAGGCATGCAACTGAGGAATTATACTATTAGAATAGTATCAATGGTTTCTAAACTAAACAAGCTCTGGAGACAAATAATTTGAAACAATCAAGCCAGACGAATCACTATGGACGGTAAATTTATTATCTTCACTATTGGCTAAACGTGATAAACGATTTTTTATGAAAAATAAGGGTTTTCATAAACGGAATGAAATCGTGAGGAAAAATGTGAAATAATAACAAGAGTGAAGGTCTGGGGGAAGATGATGAAGGAATACGTTTCTCCTACCAAAGTCCCCAATTATCGATTACAATTCTACAATGGACCTAGGCCATTTTACCCTTATCTCAGACAAACACAATATCTTCAAACATTGATATCGTCCAGATTCGACAGTACCTAACATTCCCCCAGCCTACTCTTCTGTTATCATTGTATTTCAGAGTAGGCAGCGAAACAATATACATAAAACTCGTTGTAACCATACCAACTGATGAAGGTTCATAACACTAATAGATTTCCCATTTCTAAATTATAGTCTACGATTTAAACTCAATGTTAATCTTCTGGAGATTTCAATTAAACAAGTAATGCTCTAAAGAAATCTGTGATAAAATGTTAACAATCTATACACGTCTTTTGCCTCTATCAGCCAAGTTACATAGCCGACAGATACCTCATCCGTCGATTAGTTGAGGGAGTATTTTAAAGATCGAGCTAACTTGTTGATTTGGTCAGCTGGAATTCGACCATACAAGGAGCTTTGAAGTAGAATTCAAATCCGTAGTTTGTGTTACTTAAATAAACTTCAACATATTTTCGAAGAAAAGCTAGAATAAACTTAATAAGTGAACAAACAATAATCAGTCAATATGATTATATTCATGGAAAACATTTATTCCTATCTTCATAATTTGTTGAATGATTGGAAACCTTTTTTTCCTAACATAATATGAAACTGATATCTTATTTGCTGGTAAAGTTTTGACAGATGATCCTGCTGTTTGAAGAGATTACGAATTCACCTAGTTTGAGAACAGAATGAAAACTTAGTGACTCAATGACAAAATAAGCTATGTCGATGCGTCCCAGCCCAGCTAACTAGAGAGAGAAGTTCAGGGTCAGAAGAGGGAAATGTATTCCACAAACAGCCAGAAGCACGAATAACAGCCACAAACATAATTCAAGCGTATACATATAGCATAAAATTGTCTTTGGGAAAAGTTACAAAATAGCATATTAAAAGAGATAACGTACCGATGACATTTAAGGCCCTTCCAAGTGTGAAATACGACAGGAAGGTGAAAATGGGTGCTTTTGGGGCGAAAACCAAGAAATTACAAGAATTACAAAAATAGAACATTTACCAAGTAAGTTCTGGGGACCTAATATCCATAACACCTTCCCTTTTAATAGCGTACGTTCCCGGGGTCCACCTACCTCTTGACCGTCTGTCGGAGTGACCACCTTCTGGAACGTAAATCGACTTGTCGTTGTATTTCTTCCTGTGTAGAGACTTCAGGTAGGTTAAAAGTATATAACAGGATGTCGAGTGGAAGATTTCCTCCTGTCAATGGGCGAACTGGGGCTAGCCGCTTATGTAGCTGGTTTCGATGTTGAGTCCACCTGTCTCTTCCCACCTCTATCTCGTACATCGCTTGGCCTAGCTGTCCGACCACACGTGCTTCGGTACAGGGACCATGATTTGGTCTGTAGTCCCGAGCGAACACCGGATATCCAGCCCCGTACGTTGGCAGCTTCTTGGACTTATTTATATTGGTGATACATCAAGTAATAAATGTAACGCATCAGTGCTACTGAGTGCTTTGCTTTCTACAGGCCTCTAAGTTAACTTTTTTTAATATTTTGTGGTTAAAAATGCTACATTATTTGTCAGAAAGTCATTGTTTATTATTATTATCAATCGACGACAAATTTTTCATTATAGCATTTCTATAAACAACATCTATCTATTATGAACATGAAGCGAAATTCATACATTCCAATAAAAGCTGCATCATTTAGCGATGATTATACATCATCAAATTCCACCGAATTTCAAGGTAGACATGGATCTACGTCTGCAGAGGAATCAGTCAAAGTTGAGTGGTGAAATTTTCTAATAAACAAATATGATTCACTGAAAACATGGAGGAATCCTACACTTGAAAAATGACGTAGAGACAAATTTTAATGATAGTAATGATAATAATAGTAATAATAATAATAATAGAAAGGTCAACTGATTGTTAACAAAAAATTAGTAATAGTACAGAAATATCTATACTGTAATAATAACAGTAATATTGTTGTATGAACATTATTGGACATGAAAACAACGTTGATAAAATTTTGCATTTTAAAAGTTTAATCGTTCACTAAGTTATCACATGTTAATAATCATTCTAAGCATGAACTTCCTATTCCTTGTTACACATTAAGCTTTTCATTCAAGATGAATTGAGTTCAAAATGAATACTAATATTGAACTAAACAATCTCACAAGCTCATTACATGTTGATATTCAGTTTGTCTTTTATTCTTAATCTATGGTGTAGAGCTTAAAATTCGAAAACATTTTTTATCCGTTGGCTATATTTATTTGTCACTTGAATAAGATAAATAATATACTGTTATGTGAAATTTTTTAATGTAATTATCACAATTATTGTCTTATTTCGGTTCAGTTGGTTGGTTGTGGAGATTAGTTCAAAGGACTAAATTAGCTTACATCACTCTCAATACACCTAGCTACAAACCAAGGAGCAAAAGACAGTTCTTTCTTTTTAGTTTGAGGTACCTTCGTAGCTCTTACTTATAACCCCAACAAAGCATTCAGGCCTCCCAGTGAGACCCCAATAATCATTTAGACAACTGAGTCAGAATTCAGCTTCCAAGTTGCATCACAGAGGAACAATCAACTAGTTCTCCAGTTGATATCCATCAGTGACTAAACCGATCTCGCTACTCAGGTTTTATCAATCGGACAACAAAATAAATTATTTTTAGTAAGGAAATATAAAAAAGCAAACATCTGGTTTAATACTCTATCTCAAAAAATAAAGCTAAATGTTTCAGTGCTACTCCATTGCCACTATATACTGGTTATTTGATTATCCAACTTTGGAGGTTATTGCTTAAACCGTCTTACAATCTAAGGACTGCGTGAGATTTCCTGGAGAACTGAATAGTATGACACCAGAATTCTGAAATACTCCAAATAGTATTTAATTACTATTCACGAATAAAAATCAATAATAATGTTGAACGTTGTAAAAAACATATGAAGTACATAAGGTCATTGAAATATTTCTTCACATTACCACAAGCCACTGTCACTGATCCTTACTTAAAAAAACAGTATATGAGAATGAAATAACTGTCAGCGTTACGTACCATCTATTTTACATTCAGTATGTACATTCAATTAAAAATGAACTTTTAATTAACAAATCCTTAAACAGTCAAACTATTGTTACAAACCACAGCTTATCAACTCAATGTTTCTCAGTAAATTGTCAATTATATTGAAAATGAACAAAACTTCTTTTAAGTCCTAAAAACTCATTGTGACTATCTGAAAAGCTGTTTATTTTAACACGGTGTGCAAAATAACCTGCTGTAGGCACTGATTCCTAAAATTATGTTGAATGTAAATCAAAATTAGGCTTAGATCCAGCCTATTATAATAATCCACAAGAGTAAAGAAAGCCAGTAATGACACCACAGCTCCAAACCTTTCCCATAGATATCGAAACGTTTTATATGGTGATAATGTATAATAACATAGATTTCCATTGTCATCACGCTTTCAAGAGTTATTACCACTGGTTAACACCTCGAACAATATATTTCTCATTGTTATAGCGACATAACCACTTGAAAAAGATATGATTTTATTCTGAGGGTAGTCTAATATTTCAGATGTATAATTCAAGTATTGTATGTTTTCGATGTGAATGTGACAAGCCAAGTGATTAAGCCGTGCCCAGACAATTAATTTTTTTCTAGAACTGTAACTAATGTCGAGCTGGGTGATTTTCCTATTTCTTATAAAGTGTATTGTTTACTCTTAATCTCCTAAACTCATTCCAGACTTACTGTCTACGCTATGACGTCACTTACCACGATAAACAAATTGAGGTGATCTTTTTTTAATACATTTACTGAACTACTTATAATCCACTGATTGCAATGAATAGTTTATGCAGTATCGTCGGATTTTTACAAAATCAAATATTCGAACATAGAACAGTTAACCGATCAATGAGGCTCAGTCAATATTGAAAGTGTTGGGGATACTAGATTCCCAGAAATCACTTGGCGAACGTCGCGTTTTTGTAGTTTTAATTTAGGAATTCGAATTCCCTATTTTCGCGCCCACTTTTACCATAAGCTTGTATTTCCCATTTGTAATGACCTTAAATGGCATTTGCTCATTTTCTCTTTTAGTACTCGATTTTGTGACGTTTTCCGAGAACATTTTATACTGCATATATATGCATGGGTTGTGTTTGCTCGTTCGTGCTTCAGACTGTTTGTGGAATATGGATTTCCTTCGGCTGAATTTGGTCTTCTTCCTCTAGTTAACAAGGCTGAGGCGCAGTGAAAAAGTTTAGCTTGCCCTATCACTATGTTGCTGACTTTCGTTCCGCTTTCCAGTTTTTGGTGATTCTTAATCTCTTCAATAGTAGCACAATTTGTTATATTTACTCGTATGACTATAGTACGTGGCATAATAAACGTGAATGAAATTAAAACTTCAAAGTATTCGAAAAACTGGTACCGGCTCGAGAACATTCTGACCAGTAAAAAGATTAGATTGAAGATACAAATGAAAGTTAAAAAATTGACTGTAGCTCAATACCGTGAGTACATCTAACAAAGATAATTATATGCCTAATATTAAGTACAACATGTATCCAACATGTTTTTACTATTATTAGGTGTATTTAGGAGATCATTTTTGGAATACGAAAATGTTTAGTAAATAAAAACACTTTTAACCATCAAAACTAAACAAGATCATATACATTTTTTGTGCACCTTAAATAACACAATATAGTGCTTTCAGATTTTTCAAGAAACCATATCAAATATATAAGGGTAATGTTATAAAATAGAAAACATTAGTGAACGAGTTATTTTAAAATTATCTTTCGTATTTCGTTCATCTAGAACGATATTATTTATTCTATGCTTTTTGCAGTTACAATAGGGGTGTGTAAACTGATCATACAATTCAAAGTAAGGAAAGACAAAACATTTAATAGCAGCTTAACAACAGTATGTATCACAGTTGTTCTGTGGAATTTCCATTCCATCGAGCTTGTTCATCATCCGAACTATCAGGCATGTGTGAAAGACGAGCAACATTACCCTATAAAAGAGATGAAATATAGCACAATCAACGACGATATTATAAACACTACAGGTTGTTAGAATCATAACATCAGTTTCGCCTTCAGAATGATCTTTAACTTACTTGACGTCTTACAGAACGATTTTGTTTTGAACCATTTGGATGTACAGTACTTACAGGAGGATTGCTATTAGATTGCCGAGTGCGAGGACCTGTCAGACTGGATATAAGACTCTGTCCCAATGAATATAATCCACCTACTGCCCAACCAATTAAACCATAAGTAGTGCTGAAGCCTGAACTGATAATATTGTAAAACTGGGACACGATTCCGTCTATACGAAAAAAGAGAAATTATTAAATAGAATACATATCCATTAAAGAATCTTTAACAAGTTCTATATCTTCTGATCATAAAAGCTTAACAAAGAAAATAAATTATTTTATAATAAGACACAAGCGTTTCTTTGTTGAAATAAACATAATGTCTGCAATTAACATCAGATTATGATTCACGATGAAATCGGTCAAATATTACTCATCACATAAAGATTTAGGAAAGACATGACTACACAAAAATCCGAAAAGATTCATTCAAAGAATGAGTACTAAGTGCGCTGGAACCTGACTCTTAAACTATCAGAAAGTATTTACATACAAATTCACATTCCAAATCTTTGTAAACTAGTTAAAGCAGTGAAATTTTAGGTTTTTCATTGATTGATAATAAACTAATTCTATTAACTGCTAATGATAACTGGATATTTGTAACACTTACTTAAAACCCGTCCTAGTGATGATGCTGAGAATGATAATAAAAGCTTCATAACTACATAATTGATTTGAAAATAGCCAAAATCATTAAAATCACTTAGCATATTTTGTAAATTAAAGTTAATTAATTAGAAATAAAGATTTTATTTTAACAGTTGAATTCACACGTCGGTCTAAGCTAGGTCACCATAGAAAACCTGGAGGTACTGGACAGCCTTTTCGCCTTAGTACGAAAGTCCCCAGTAGTGTGCATCCACAATTCACACGCGGGACTCTAACCCAGGATCTTCGGTCTCGCGCGCGAACGCTTGACCTCTAGACCACTGAGTCGGCATTCGACGGTGTTAAAGTCCAACTTCAATCGATACATGATCTTGCGCAACCCTTCATCCATTATCTGAAGTGGACAACTGTCTCACACTCGACACGGATTGGACTCCACTAGTCATGGCTTCTCACTGGAACTCCAGGAAATCCATCTAGTGAACACATGATTACTATCAGTATAGGGATTTGTGGAGATCGTAGTATTTTTTACAGTTGAGTCCCGAGTGAGGGATCGTGAGTGAACACTACTGAGGAATCCCATACCATGACGAAATAGCCTTTAAGTGTTTCCAGGTTTTCAATGTCAGTCAGTCAGTCAGTAACAACGTGGAACTTCGTACGTACGTACATCAGTTCGAGTTGCCATACCACATTAGCACAGAGATTCAGTTATCGATTCAAATCCCGTAGTGGTAGAGGTACTGAAAGTATAAGTAGAGATAGGGGACATTAAGGTTTGATGATGTTATTTAAGGAGTATAGTCCAGTGGAATAGATTTAGAAAGAAAATAAAGGACATGAATAATTCAGAAGATTAGAGTTTGAGAGAACACAAAGAGTGGATGCACCTGCACCATTGCAAACGATTTTGAGCCATGTCATTCAAGGTCTCTAACCATCGGTTGCTATCGACTCGTGGACCCCAACCAGGTAGTCTACACCTACCAACATGACTCAGTCTACTTGTCAGTGACTTCATGGATTTGTGCCATGTTTTGGTCTGACCGCCCCTAGCTTTCTTCCAACCTACTCCTACACCATAAAACATCGCACGTCGGGGCAGTCGGTGGTCTGGCATGCGTAACACATGTCCCAGCCATCTCAACTGATTAAGTTTCACTACATCATCAATTGATTTGCCATCCTTACCTAGTAACCGTTTCCTAACAACTGAGTTGCTTACTTGGTGGTCCCAGGATATACGAGCAATGTTTCGAAGACACCTATGATCAAATACTAGTAACCTACGAATATCCTCTACTCTTACTGACCATGTTTCACTGCCATAAAGTAGGACGGAACGAACTGCTGCGCAGTAAACACGTCCTTTGGTTGATAGACGGGTATCTCGCCTACGCCACAAATGACGCAAGTTGGCAAAAGCTAGTCGAGCCTTCTGTATCCGTGCTGAGATTTCGTCACACACCAAACCACAAGGGCTGATGAGACTTTCGAGATAAGTGAAGCGGTCGACACGCTCAACTACTTCACTCCCTATCACTAGTTCGGGTGTCGACGCAACCCAATCCTGAAGCAACATTTTGCATTTCGAGGGAGAAAATCGCATGCCGAACATGCTTGCATTGTTGTTTAGAGTGGTCAGTAGACTCTGCATTTTGTCAGCGTCTTCACTAAATAGAACTATGTCATCGGCATATTCTAAGTCAACAAGCTGATCTCCCGGGAAAAGTTCAACTCCTGGAAATTTAGATGAGGAAAGTGTCATCTCTAAAAGGACGTCAACGACAAAGTTAAACAAGAATGGAGAGAGTGGACAGTCCTGACGAACACCACTTGAGGTAATCAATTCTGATGATGGTCTAGCTTAGATCAACTCGGGAATTCGTCTGTTGAAATGCTACAATCTTCACAAATCACCATACTAATAGAAAGTTTATTGTTATTATATTATACAAATGTGTTTAATTTCCAAAAATTAAATAGTTATCTAATAGGGAAATAGAAATTTACCATTACAATTATTCTTATCCGAACACCAAACTATACCTTCTGGAGTAAAGTTAACGCCAATGAATTTTATGTAAATTATGAGATTAATTAGACAAATTGCACAATACTAATAATGAACTCATTCATTGTGAATTGAATATCACGACATAAAAACAAATACTAAATAAGAAAAAAATCTGAAAACTTTTAGAAATTGTGAAATAGGAACAATGAACTAACCATTTGAACGCGTGATAGCTTGATTAGATTTACTTAATACAAGAAACAATGCAGCTGATGGATAATAACCAAGTTCTCTTAATGACTGAGATTCGTCTTCTGGTCCCAAGATCCTATATGGAAAGTATCAAAAAATCGCAACATTATTAAAGTAAAAATATGGGATCGTTATTTTTTAAGATGTACCTAACATAATATTTAGGGATATACTTTGAAATTAGTTTCAATATTTTTAGGATAATATTTAGGTGTAACCATATTATCATACCGTAGAACAAATCAAGATATACTATTAGTTTTGTATGCATAAATTAAAAAGTACTGCCAACTAGCAGTTTATGAAACTCTCGGAAGAGGACACCTTTATGAGCCGATTAAGGACTGATAAGTTTCCCGTTACTATATAGTGAAGATGACGTAGTGTGAAAATAGAGCAACAGAGAATGTTTACTCCATTCGATGCAGATCTTAGTCGAAGGATAAATTAACTAGAAATCGTCCATTTTCTTCTGTTAGAAGTCAGCTAGTGTGAAATCATGTCACTTTTGACTCATTAAATGACGAGGATGAATTACCTAAGAATTCCGTTGCTTTCTGGTAATTCATCGACTTTTCAAGGAGTCTCTAAGTAAATTTTGTGAAAAGTCATCGATAAAAATTTTTACGATACGATAAAAGATTCGAACATACACTGATCTCTATTCAAACGAATGAACATTTATTGTGAAGGAAGTTTATTTACCTATGTTGAGCAGAACTACCAAAATACATTGTCTTCATTCATTATCTAGTCAGTGACATTCTTGATTTTGACGATCATTTATGATCGCCAACATGGGACATAAAAATCTAAAGGTCGCTAAAGTTTAGTAGTATTAATGTGGTTGTACCAATTCTAATTTTGAAATAAAACAATATTTCAAAAGAAAGTAGTCATAAAATATTATTGTGTAAGCTACTTATGCTGACAGATATAAGTAACAGAAACAATAAGAAATAAAATGCCTGTCATCAGAAGATTGCAATGAAAAAAAAACAGGAAGGAAATCTGAGAGCAATCGAAACAACAACAGAATTAGAGGAGTAATGGGGTATATAAAGAACAACACAAAGATGTGCAAATGATGTATTTATTGCCTAGTTTTCATATTTTACTAAGCCACTGTGATTTTGCGTTAAACAATAAATTGGTTATCCCCATCAAGTCTTTGTTCACTACATTATGACAGCAACAAAGCTAAAGTAAAACATTTTGGGAGTGTTCACTCTTACCCAGTTAGAGTCACGCATTTTCACAAGGTAGACAGTGAGAAAATTATTCAGGTCATAGTGCTAGTCCTCTCTTATATAAGCAATAAACGAAAGCACTTCTGTATATTTCCGATAGGATTTGTACGAAAGCGCCTATTTATTTATTTTTTTTAAGATTTATTGCGCATGTGGTCTAGGATTTCATATTTTCAGTTCGGTCAACCCGATTCTAAGTGAATTATTAAAGAGGAACACAATTCAGAGGTAACAAACGTCTAGAAAAGAAGTATTATTGTGTAGATACAGGTTATACAAAGCGGCTTTGTAGCTTCGCAAAACGTTCCGCTTATAAGCATTGGGTTTCTTCTGGCTCCTTACAAATCATTGAAGCCCGTCGATCTACTCCGGTTGACCGTGAGTTTGACAACAAACCACGACTGTTACGTATCGAAATTGGACAAAGCTTGCGTAAGGACCGAAAATCCTGGTGATCGGAGTGTGCCGATAAGTTGAAAGCAGCAGCTGCATCTTGTAACTGCCGAGAGCTCTTTCAACTCATCGAAGCCACTGGATATACGCGTCGGTGAGAGCACTTTTGCTCTATGCTTGTGAAACCTGGCCTCTCCGAGTTGAGGATGTTAGACGACTCTCTGTGTTCGATCATCGTTGTCTCCGAAGGATTGCTGACATCCAGTGGCAACACCATATTAGTAATACAGAGGTTCAGCATCGTGTGTTCGGGCACAGAGACGATAATCCAATTGGTGTCACCATCTTGAAACACCGACTTCGGTGGCTTGGACATGTTCTACGAATGTCGTCCCAGAGAATTCCACGTTGTGCATTATTTCCTGACGCTGAGACTGGTTGGAAAAAGCGTAGAGGTGGTCAGTGTATGACTTGGTGTCGTGGTATGAAAGAAAGCTGTACTGGACTGGCTTCTGTCGGTCCTTCACGATTCCCTGTTTGGGGTCCTAGAGATGGTGCAACACAGTGGCTAGAGACGTTATCAGATATGGCTCAGAATAGAAGCGATCCTGCTGTAATTTTATTTTACTTTCTTCATAAAAAAGACGTAACTTCTTTAAGTGGAAGAATTCTCTGTGGCTGTACTTTTGCTAATTGAACTGTCTCTCCCATTATTGTTATTTCATTATCATACACTAATTTCTGTTGATTGTTGCACTGCTTTTTTTTTCTTATACGCATCTTACATTATTATTGTGTGGCGCATATGTATCTGGTTCCATTTTGTACCAATATTTATGTGTTCAATTAAGTAAATAAATAAATATACAAAGCAGTCAAACTGACAGCAGCACGACACGCTGAAGGTTACCTTTTAGGATATAACTGCAGAAACCGAAACCCTTTGAAGACTAAATTTTTAAAATTAATACGGTCAGTTTCACTTAAAACTTGAGAGTTATCCTCCATTTGGAAATCACAGGACACCAACTCTTGAAGCCAATTTCGTACATCGTAAATAGTCGCCGTAGAGGGGAATCGATTAATTACACGACCACCTTCTAATGACTTTAACTGTAACCGAACCTAAAGTAGGAAGTGGAACAAAACATTCAATATAAAAGGGTCATCAAAGTTAGCTTATGCGTTACGGTATAACATTCTTCTCAGAATGATCTAAGCAGTTACATAATTTATCAGCATACAAAACTAGGGCTAAATTATCACTGTGATTACTCAGCATAATTACATGCAATATGTGATTGCGGGACAGAAACCTAGTAAAAGATAATCATTCTGTGGAAATTTCGTTTTCGTGAGAAATAAAGAAGTTTCATTGCTCTCAAGGAATCAATTTTGAGATTTAAATTGTAAGTTAGCCATAGAACGTTTACAAATGTATCTAAAGTTTGAGAAACTTACTGTTTCATTATTTCAGTCAACCAGTTGTAAAAACAACGTAAGACCTGGCACGAATCTGCGCATGTCCAAAATGTTACAGTATAAGTCATACAAGGGACAGAAAATCGGGCAGAAAAATATCATTTTGTTATGTCATCAAAACAGAATGTCGAAAGTCTGCCGAAGTTAGAGATTCCTACAAAACATAGGTCACTAATTTAATTCAATAAAATTTAATGAAGTGATGCTCAGAAGAGTAAAAGCAAATAATGATCTATGATTGGAAAGACTTTTATTTACTGGATAACTGACTGACAAGCTAAAAAAATACTCTGCTATATATTTAAATAATAGCACATAAGTTGGCTACTTTGCATAATCCAGTAACCAAGTGCAGTTTCTAGTATTCAGATTAGAGTTGCGCTATTCGCATGATGGTTAGTGATACAAATGGACTGTACAAACAGAATTAAGTGAGATAAGGTCCGAGTATATAGCTCAATAGTTGAAATTCAACAAGCGTAACTATCCAGTTACACTGAATAATACTAAGAAAATGCAGGAGTTATAGTAACAACTGTGAAATGATTCTAAATTTAAAAAAATATTTCATAGTTTTATCTGCATAAACCTTCGTTATGTATTTATATTCATAAATCATGTAGCAATTTTACATACGTATATGAAATGTATACGGAAACTTTTAAACTTTTAGTTAGGTTGAGGTACATAACTCAAAAAAATGTACAAAACTAAACAAACACGATTTATACCTCATCTGAGTAAGATGAACTTTTAAGAAATTCTTGTGGAGAATTACTAGATGTTTTACATTGTGAACCGTACAATTGTGACCATCTTTCTTCCCTTGTTTTACGATCCTCTTCGATCTGCTGACGCAACTTTTCCAGTCGTATGCGTGATTCCGCCTCTTCTTTACGGCGTTCAGCTAGAGCTTCATCAATTTCTTTTTGCTTTTGACGTTCCTAAAGCAAGAACAAAAACGTCCATAAACGAATAGCACAATATGTACAGAACCTCATAAAGAGTTTACGTGATCTTTCTTCAATGATGTCTTTAATTAAATCTTAAAAGGGAGTGAGCCATTGAATAAAATGTAGACAGAATTATACAAACCACAAGAAAATGGAACACTAAAGTAGCGATTTCATCATAACATATGAACAGTCAAACTGGGAATTGAAAAGCAAATATGATTTCTATTTTTATACATTTATTCTATGGGAGCCATGATACTGTTTAAGACAACTACAAGAATCCGATAGATCTTTGAATGGATTAACCATAAGCTTTCAGTAGAGGGCATTTGTCATGAACCATTGCATGATTCCAAAAACTACTGAACCCAGAACCCCGGCGATCGGAGCATGGAAACGAGCTGAAAGCAGTAGTTGTAGCTCCCGAAAGCTCTTTCAACTCATTAGAGCCACTGGTAGCATGAAGTCTGGTGAGTAAAACAATCTGTGAATCTGGTTGGACATCGAGGATTGGTTTAGCTGGTTTGTTGCTGTAGCAACATCGACTACACCTTCTTGTTCTCTATGGCCGGTGACAACTGACCTACTGAACGGGGCGGAAGTTCATGAAAAACTGACTCCTGAGGCGCTATAAATCATCAAGCACAGACAACTTACTTCTCGCTCTTCTTAAGTACGGTGGAGAACTTCTGGTGACGGAACTGACTGAAATGCTTGGAAAGGTTTAGGAATTACAAAGTATTTCAGCAGTCTGCAATAAAGCGAACGTTATCCCTATCTTTAAAAAGGGTTTACGTCATTTATGCAAAAACTATCAGGTGATAGGTCTACTTCCAATTGCGTTCAAACTATCGGTTTCCATCGTGCTTCACAAATTACTCAAAATAAGTGAAGGATTGACTCGCGAAGAACAGTCTGGTTTTTGTTCTTGTAGTGAATATATGTTGCATATTGCCACTTTCTACCAAATGTTAGACCACCACCCAACAATCGTTGTATCTCTTGATATCTAAGCCGACTTCGATCTGTTGGACATGACTGTTCTTTGAGGTTGTTTGTAGAAGAAAGGTATGCCTGCGAAGTTTAATAACATCTTGAAGGCTCTGTGCACAAACTGATTAAGCAGAGTGAGTGTGTACAACCACCTCTATCCATAGATTCATCTAAACAGTAGGGTTAGATAGAGTTGTCCAATACCACGATTTACCTTTAATTTTACCATCAACGACATTATGGAAACAGATTTGATGCAAGCAAATCTTTTATCTGAGTAAATCCTTTTCGACCTTTAGTATGCGGACAATAATGTCTTACAATGAGATGACACTCAAGCCACGCAAATCGCAATTAGTCAGTTAATAATCAATGTCCATAGGTATGGTATGTACTTTGTTGATGCTAAATGCAAAATACTTTTACAAGACTATCAGAACTCATGACTTGAACTCACTCTTGGTGGTAAGCAGTTGAAAGTAATCGAAACGTTCGTGTATTGGGAGAATTGTGTGAGTCCTGGTGGTTGCGTGAGTGATAAGTTCAATTTAAATGCAGTGAACCGGAGCGGTTTATGCCAATTCCAAATCCTTTCATACAGTCATGATGTTGATCTGGTTGCAAAGTGTCGGACATAAAACACATCGGTCGGAGTTTTACTCTACACCTGTAAAACCCCACCTCTCCAAGTTGAGCATGTTAAGCCACTCTCTGCGTTTCCTCATCTCTGTCTCCGAACGATTCCTGACATTCAGTCGCAATACTATAATAGTAGTGCGAAGGTTCGGAAAAGCGTGCTCGGTCACAGTGATAATAATTCAACTGGTTTCAACATCTTGAAACACCAATCTCGGCGGCTTTCACATGTACTACCAATGTCATCCCAACGAATCACACATTGTGCATTATTTGCCGACACTGAGACTGGTTGGAAAAAGCGTAGAGGTGGTCAGTTCATGACATGGTGTCAGGGTATGGATAAAGTCTGCACAGGACTATGATTTGTCAGTCCATTACGACTTCCCAGTTGGTGTCTCAGAGATAATGCAACCCAGTGGATTGAGATGTTATCAGACATGGCTCAGGACAGAAGTCTATGGTAATCATGTTGTAATTTTCTCTCACTTTTTTTAAAGTGACACAATCTTCCAACCAACATAGTTCGATTAAGTCAGTACCACAGACAATCCCTATCACCACGCCAAGGCAGCAGCTACGGTCCAGCCATATCTGATTAAACTGCTGAAGATACAAAGTTGGATCTAGATGTATAATTTTTAATCGATAAGTGAGATCTGAGCGAACCGCTAGGTTTCAGTAATTGGAAAAGCAAATAAAACTTAAAAGTTTCAAAGTCTTCATTAGTCAGAACACTTCGTAATCTTTGTGACATGATCAAAAACTGTTTCATGTGGAAAAGCCATATTTAGACTTTGTTATTTAAACTCTATCGTTCAATTACAAATATTATGAACTGAAATATTGAGGATTAGAACTATGTAGTTACTGAGACTTCTAGATCATTTAGAGAAGACGCTCATTACTAACAGACAGCAACAAGAGAGCTGTTGATAGTGCGGCATTGAATACAGAATATGTTTAATTGACCTGTAAAAGATGCTAGAGTGACGTGTATGAATTAATCATACTGGAAGCCAAAAAAAACCTGACATGTCATTTATTTATTATTTATTATGTAAACACATAAACAATTGTACAAGAGGGTACCAAATACATATTCGCCACACAATAACAATGAGACTAGTAGCAGTAATCATTGATTTGGATGAGTTATGTGATACTGCCAGGGTGCTCAGACCGAAGAAGATGGTTTTCTCAGGGGGGTCACACCCCGAACCTTTGACCTAAAGGTCTAGTCCACAAGGCAGTGGAGTAACGTAAGGAGATGCAGTCCCGTGGTAGCCGGTGACTAACAATAGGTTTAAACTCCATTTGTTTCCTTAGGATCCTGGAGCCCATGTGCGCCATTGGTTTAGGATCAGGGTTTTCCAACTCCTCTAGGTGGATCCTCTGGAACCGGTTAAAGCGCGGACTCTCCCCACGCCTGGCCGTACCAGGGCATTAGGGGGCATATCATCTATCCACCTTTGAGTGGGACTTAACGAAATAGATTGTAATTATCGATCACGATTTACGTAATGTAAATCTGAGTAATTAAAATATAAATTATCATTGCGGAAACAAACAAAAAGTGCATTTTTCTCACACTAAAAATAGTGACAGTTCTCCAGAAGCAGTAAGTTAAACACAATCATATCTGACATCTTTTCTAGCAACTTAAAAACGACTAGTATTATGATAAATCTAAATTTTTTACCTTAAATTCATTCATGGCTTTCCCTACTTCTCGGCGTTTAATCTCAGCTTCAACAGACTTTTTTCTGGTTTCCTCTTCTTTGCGCTGTATTTGAGTCTGAATAAGTTCATAAGCGCATTCCACTCGTTCTTCCAAAGATTGTTCACAACTTTTAGTTTGAGTCTCCGACATAGATGACACTGATGGCTCTATCATATCTGATCTAAAAGCCTGTTCAGTATCATCATGCAGCTCATTCTTGGATATATTGCTTGCAGTAGTTGAGTTCACATCTGAAAGTAGTTTGAGAAAATGAATTGAGATACTAAAGGTTTAAAATTCAGTTATGTAAGAATGTATGAACCTATACAAGTATATCACTTGCTCGAAAAATAAACTGCTTAAAAGATAGTATACCATGCCTAATGAAAATTTCAGTACTCCGCATTGAATAGAAGAAAAAGTTTATCTTCCGAAGGACATTATATCACTATCATTTAAATTTTAAAAATATATTGATCATTTAAATTTAATATTATAAATAAGCATTCGTAGACTGACAAGTAGTGTGGTTACAAACACATTTTCTAAGTGTTTCTGACAAAGAGGAGTATAATCCAGTTGGTTTTAATAGATAGTAGTAAAATAGAGGCTATTTAAAAAAGAAACTTCAGTTCTTATGACAAAAGTTTAGCCACCCACAGTTATCAGTTATAGGATTATAGAGAATTTGATAAATGGACGAGGTTTGTAATTGTTAAAACGAATGAATAAAATGTCGACTTATAGATGAAAGAGGACGATGCGCTATTGCCATGATAGCCGCTCACGAGACCGAAGTATTACTTCAAATCCCCGAATAAACTGATATCAAAAACAAGACAATTAGCTAGAACAATAGGATTTGCTTAACAGATACAGTAAAACACTCGGATACAAATAACTAGTCGGAAAATTAAGTCAGTCAGTCAGTCAGCTGCAACGTAGGACCAGGCACGTATATGCACCGGTCCAAGTTGCCATACCGCATTAGCACAACAAGATGAACACCGGATTCATAGAAGTAGTTACTTCAATGGGGGTGATATATAGAAGAAAGATTGCATATAAGGAGATAGTACAGGAAGAAAGAATTAGTTCCTAGAAAGAAAGATTTTAATCTCTTAGTTTGAAGGAAGACAGAGAGTGTATACACCGACGCTATTGTGATCGATTCTGAGCCATGTCACCAGCAGTCTCGAACCATTGGTTACGATAGTCACGCGGACCCCAACCAGGTAGTCCGCATCTACCAACATGGCTCAGACTAGAAGTTAGTGACTTCAAGCACTGATTCGACGTTTTGGTTTGGCCACCCCTAACTTTCTTCCAATCATCCCTAACACCGGTTAGAACTGCGCGCCGTGGTAATAGGTGTCCAGGCATACGCAGCACGTGGCCCAACCATCACAGTCGATGAAGATTCATAACCTCATCAACTGATTTACCATCATTCCCTAATACCCTGCGTCTAACCTCACTATTACTTACCCGGTGATCCCAGCAAACACCAGCAATATTTCTAAGGCACCTGTGGTCAAATACTAGTAACTTACGAATATCTTCTACTCTTAAAGGCCATGTTTCGCAGCCGAATAGTAGAACGGAACGAACTGCCGCGCAGTATACTCGTCCCTTAATTGATAGACGAATATCTCGCCTTCGCCATAGATGACGTAAGTTGGCAAAGGCCAAACGAGCTTTTCGAATCCGTGCTGAGGTTTCGTCAGACACCAACCCATTAGGGCTGATCAGACTTCCAAGATAAGTGAAGTTGTCAACGCGTCCGATTACTACACTCCCTATCCTTAGTTCAGGTGTTGACGCAGACCAGTCCTGAAGCAACAACTTGCATTTAGAGGGAGAGAAGCGCATCCCAAACATTCTGGCATTGTTGCTCAGTGCTACCAAAAGACTCTGCATTTTATCAGCGTCTTCACCAAACAGGACTATGTCATCTGCGTATTCTAAGTCGATAAGTGGACCTCCTGGTAGGAGATCAATACCCGAGAATTCAGTCGATGAGAGCGTTATTTCCATCAGTAGATCTATGATGAAGTTAAACAAAAATAGAGAAAGTGGACAGCCTTGACGGACACCACTTGAGGTTACAAAAGCGGATGACAGTTTGCCATAAGCTCTCACTCAACTAGTAGTGTTCGAGTAAAGAGCCTTCACAAGGTTTATGTACTTCTGAGGTACGCCTTTCAATGACAGACACTGCCACAGAACCGCTCGGTCTACAAAGTCAAATGCTGCTTTTAGGTCAAGGAAGACCACCATCGTCGGACGCCGATAAGTATGCCTGTGTTCTAGAACCTGACGAATGGTGAATATGTGGTCGATGCAGCCACGACCAGGTCTGAAGCCAGCTTGATTCTCACGTGTTTGCAGCTCACGAGTCTTAGTTAGGCGTCCGAAAATTATCGAAGCTAGTATTTTAGATACTATATTAGTAAAACTAATCCCTATATGGTTGTCGCAGGATGATTTTGACCCTTTCTTATATATTGGGACGATAAGTGATTGTGACCAGTCAGAGGAGACTACGTCCAACTCCCAGATTTTAGCTAAAGTATTAGTCAGCCTAGTCTCTAGAATTGGACCACCATTCTTAAAGACCTCTAGGGCCAATCCATCTGGACCAGCTGCCCTTCCTCGTTTTAGATTAGCTATAACCTTTTGAACTTCAGCTAGAGTTGGAGGACCTACTTCAATGTTCCATTCACAGTGTCTGGGAATAGTGGGTAGTTGTAGAGTAGCTGAAGGCCAGCTGAACTGCTCCTTAAAGTTTTCCGCCCTTCGTTCTAAACATCTGGACTGGGAGCAGATAAGAATGTCGTCTTTTTCCGAGATAGTCTCACTTACAACTGACTTTTTAGTTCCAATTTCTTTTATTAGTCTGAAGAGCTGTCTGGTGTTTCCTATAGCCACCGCCTTTTCCATATCTTTTGCTTTCGTTGCCCACCACTGCTCACGGTCGTTCCTTAGACTTTTGGTTAACCTAGATCTGATTCGGTTTCGCTCATCATCGTGTTTAGAGCCTGATGGGATGAGTTTAAGCGAATCCGTCAGTGCGTGTGCGGAAAATTAACGTGATTAAATTTCACAACTCATTGGAGGAAATCAGTTTTTTAAATCCCTAGCTCATCACTGAATTAATGCCTTATTCTTGCCTTTTACATTATCGATCTTAGGACAGAATGACTGACCTGTGTTGCTGTTCAAAGGATTAACGAGCGCAAGAAAGATATAACCATCCCTGAGGAAGTAATTAATTTGCATAGATATCTATATAAGCTCAAGTTTACAACAGTTATCGGTTGTCATGAGTTACACTTTCGATATAATTAAGGCAAATCTGTAGCAAAGTGTACTAGGAAGTTCACCTACTCACCAGGTACTTGGGTATGAGTCACACTAAGTGTGTGGAGTAATAAGGCTATCTGGTTGCCAAAATCGAAGTAAGAAGGGGGGTTCGACCCAGGGACTTAGTGGATGAAAGTCAAACAACTTAACCAATAAACCATAGATTCAAAGAAATAAAGGAATATTTCGTGGTGCATTAAGTAATCAAATAACAGTCGCAGATAACCTCAAAACATGTGCATCAACCAGGTTTGAATAAAAGTATTCTAGAATTATGTTTGCAAGAGATTAAAATTTTTGTCCGCATTTACATGTTGTTTGTGTGTAGTGCTTTAGCAGTTGACAATTTCACTAACAGCCACATCATTAAAACTACCTGTTTCTCTATACCAGTGGTCAATATTTTTAGCAATAGTTAACAACTAATGTAAAGTGGAATATTTTGTTTTTGTCGAATACAGGGTACGTGATTCGAAAGCTCTCACTAAGAGCATGATTGTCAATCCGTCATATTTGCAACATAAACATAACAGTAAGTAACATTTGGATCACTCTTTTCTTCTACTGGTATTGGTAAATAGGAATACCAAAATAATTATGCGCCACATAAATATGCAATGAGATTGTAAGGAGATCGAAGAACAAAAGTGAGTATGATTAAAAACAAGTCAATGAATGAAGAATAGTGAACGATAGTAGTAGCATGATTGTCAATCCGTCATATTTACAGCATAAACATAACAGTAATATTTGGGTCACTCTTACACTTGGCGGATTTCACTGACTGCCTATCTGGTTGTGTGGAATACTGGTTTTCTTAACATAATTCTATCATTATCACTACAACCAGTAATAATACAGTTCTCAGTCATGTGTCATCGCCCATGCAATCACTGTTCACGTTGAAGTATAAGTAATAGTTTATACTAGTTACTTAAGACGGAATGATGAGCAGTTGCTGTCAGATATAGTAATAATTTATCCTTTCAATCAGTGATTGAGCAACATTTTCTCGAGTCTACAACCATAGGTTACAATTATCTAGTGAACTCCAACCTGGAAGTCTGAAACCTAACGTAGTTCAAAGTGACAGTCAATTTCCAATGGAGTGATAGCATATTTTTGTTTTGGATATCCTTGGCTATTTCACAGCCTACTCTAGGGCTAACTAATATCGCAACAGGTGAGCAATCACTGGGGAGTCTAGATAAATGTATTTACATAAAGCTTTACGGTTAATCCGTTTTGTACCCTATTTACACAACTGGACACATCCTAAGTGGAAATATTGTGTTCGTTGAGTATCAAATAGAGTCTACAAGACTACGTACAGGATAATTACAAAACAAAGCAGTCTACTTAGCGAAGTTAAGAATGACAAACGTTAAATTAAGCCAATATTAATTTGTAAAACACAAATTGTTTCTTGCAAACTAACTTACTATTAACTGGTCCAAATCCTGACTTTTTTATCCAGTCCACTAAACTTTTACTCTCAATACGACCCAGCTTTATATCGATTACTTGTCCAGTGGGACCAATGAGGTAGATACAAGGAACAGTAAGGACTGCATAAACTGCTGAAAACTGGATAGCAGCATGAGAAGAAGCTTCTAACTGAAGGCCTGAAAAGTTATTAGTAAATCTGTTTATTAGGGTTCAAAAACGTACAAGACTGACAAACAGTGACATAAATTGCACAATAACGAAAGACGAGACTTTTCAGTTCGGACAATTAAAGTTCATCAAACCCACAACTATCGTGTCCAAGCCAAAATCATGTTATTTTAATCTACGTGTAGGTGGATTATTTATAGTACTAAATTTATCAGTATTTAGGTGCTAGTTATCTGATTCAATGATTCCACTATGAGACAACTATAGGTGAAAAATATCTTTTGTTTTGCTTGGTTGTCTGGTAATATAAATAATGAATATATATAGGAGTGAATTACTGAATTATATCCCAATCTTATTACAGAAAATTGATGTATAAACATTAAAAGTCAGATTTTAATCTTTGTAAGTGGAACATAGTAACTAAAACGTGAGCCGTTTCGATCCAGTAAATGTACTAAACTGAACTTCATTTTTGATTTTCCATAAATGGAACACAGAAATGAGAAACCGGATTGATGGTTAGAAGTAAATTATATGTTGGAGTAGTATTACAAGTCCATACATAGTTCAATCACCTAAGCTGACACACGTACACATATCCTATGCCTAAACACAGTAATCCTCGGAGACAGCTATAGTCGCATACTAACAAATTCTAATCTTCTGAATTCTTCATATTCCTTTTTTTCTCCTTCCGAATTTATTTGACTGGATTATACTCCTTGAATGACATCTTCAAACTCTAATGTTTCCAATTACTGCTTATACTCTTACTACCTCTACCACTACGGGATTTGAATCGACAACTGCATCTGTGTTAATGTGGTATGGCAACTCGAACTGATGTACGTACGTACGAAGTTCTACGTTGTTACTGACTGATTAACTGAAAGAACACATTTCAACCTCCAGAAGTAATGTCCATACTCATGAGAAAATATAGGGAAGTGATGAACACTAATCATTGTTTTGTAGGCAGATGAATATTACAGATGCATGACAAGTGGTAAGAACCAAGTAGTTTTTGTCCAGATTCTGTCAGTCACTAACAATTTAGTGTTGACTATGCCCCGCGTCATAATTGAAGTGGTCGATGTACCTAACTACACGCTTCAGTTATACTAGATACCAGCCCAGGTCCAAAACTTAAAAACATATTGTATCTAAGTTTTGAGAGACGCATTACAAGCAATCTCGTAATATTATTTGAATAAGTCGGAAGACTTCATTTCTTAGCAGTCTTTACCAAGCAGAACTCATCTAAACCATGTTCTAATTGCCTCTAAGTAAGACATTAATACGTAAAAAATATTTCAAACAGCGAACCTATGACAAACGCCAGCATTCTGTGATAAATACACTGGATGTTATTTCTATTTTATTTTATTTTAACACATAAGTATTGGTACAGGGAGGCACCAAATACATATGCGCCACACAAATCTCAATTGATTTGTGTGAGGGCTGTGATACTGCTCGGGTGCCCAAACCGAAGCAGGTGGTTTTCTTAGGGAGCCACACCCCAAGCCTTCGAACTGAACGTCTGACCCACAAGGCAGTGGAGCATCGTAAGGAGATGCAATCCCATGGTAGCCGGTGACCAACGATTGGTTCATACGCCATTTGTTCATTCAGGATACTGGAGCCCATGTGCACCATTGGTTTGGGATCCGGTTAAAGCGCCGGACATTCGCTTTTCGTCCTCTCATTTTCGTAAACAACACCCTTGGTGCGAGAAGGCAGTGAGTGGGACTTCCCTTGCAGTGGCTATATACGCGTGGCCATGTGAGAGCATTTCGAGAGGGAGAGCGAACTCTCCCCACTCTCGGCCGTACCAGGGCATTTGGGTTTCTTTAATGAGCTTAGATGGATGGTGACCGTTCATGAACAGATGAGTATCAATTTAATTTTATCACCCACTACTACTTTAAGTCACTAAAGGAACTGTTAGCTAGTCTGCTTTCGATATTTACTTCCTTCGGAACCAGGCGGGATTTTTGATAATTTGGTGATTAAATTATGAGGATTTCGATTTTTAATTTGATTGTAGGTTTATTGCTTCCTTATGATAGAATAAATACATTTCACACTAGATAAGGAGCATTTTTAATACTTTAACAACCATGAAATCAATTCGTTAACAGAAGTAAACTTAATCTTTTCATCTATAGACGAAGTAAAAAAGATGACTGTGGTTTCCTGGCTTCTCTTTAAGTGTAGATGCACGCCTATATCAATAGAAAAGCAGTCACCAAGAAAATAGACCAAAAAAGTACAAGCCACTAACACGTTGTTACTAAATATTACAAATAGCAACCAATTTTTACTGCAGCGTTGTTGCTAATGACTAAATCACAGTCATTTATTTTTTTACTTACAACACAAGACTTAAAATAGAATGAAGGTTGTCTGGAATGTAACAGTACCTTTTGAATACCTGTTGAATCATCTGCTGATTCAAAGCTCGAGTATGCAGTATAGTTTAATGATTATATATTCCTGAGTAGGCACCAGTAAGACCACTTCCTTCAATACATATTAAACTTAACATTATTTAAACACGCTACACTAAACATGCTAGGAACTTTACGGTTTAGGCACAATCGATAAAACTCATACTTTTTCACATTGATAAGTTTAACTAGAGTAAGGACGAACGCAGTAGAATAATGCGGACCCATTTGTTTCGTAGTCTTCAGTTGCTTACAACCTAGAACTAATGGCATTGGTTTTAGGAACAAAAGTGCACACATGTTACATCATAATATTAAAGATGCTTTTTCAGTACATACGCCAAAGCATACTCACATCTCGAACCACATTTCTCAAATATTGAGACAATCCGTGATAGCGGACAATGGGATTTCAAAGAATTATTGGCAATCAGACAATTTTGAACTCATAACGTCTTGCAGAAGCCACTGCTGTCAGAAAGTTTAAGCCGGAACTACGTATAACAATGTGTATTACTGTCATCCTTCAATTGCCCTGATGACCTTAGTTTCCAAATTGAATTGTAACACTTAACGTTTTATCGCTAGTTTTAATCCTTAGCTGTTATTCTTACATGACTTTTAATACCGATTAACAGTTGGTTCTGTCTTGAAGCAATTTTAATACCTTTTATCCTGGAACTTTAGTATCAATCCACAAATGGACAATCAGTTGAAACGCTCTTATGATGTGCTCGTATTCCTTGGAGTTTTATTAACCTTAACGAGTGAGTATTTCTGACACAACGGTGTAAAGTACGTAAATCGTTTTACAAACCAATGCTTTTATTTATAGTAAATAAGAAGCCGAAGACTGGAATACATGAATTTATGTTTTCCAGACATTCGTCTCCGTTTTAGTCTAACATGTTAGAGATAAGCAAGCTAACCCGTTATCTATTTGATGACAGAGGATAAACCAACGCAACTACCTCATATATCCATCTAAAAACAATATGTAGGTATTTTGGTATATACGAATCTAAATGCCGCGAAACTTTGTTATTTGATATAACTCGAAATGTTGGTTTACAAAGTTAAAATAACGTTTACTCCAGCACATGTACTGACACAGGATCAAATTTTATGAAAGAATAGACTTCCAGTAAATTAAAATACACAGAATATTGATTACTCACATACAACATTACAACAAACTTCCCCAACCTGGTCGTCGAACTGAGTGGAGACAAAGCTAGAGTCCTCGTCAGTCCCTGACAATAAGATAAGTTTATTAATGCTTGTTACAGACCTTTAATAAAAACTAGTAGCAATTTGGACTCTTCTTTCACGGATTTAATTGCATCCGAGACTTCGCCCTTGAACCACTCCATCCAATTTCGATAATCCGCCTATGACACAATAAGAATACCACGTCCAGAGATCAATGGAGAATCTAGAAGAAACCTTCAGCTTTAAACTTAACAGGACAGACATAACAAATTGTTAGTTCCTCAGAATATACCTGAGATTTTTTATAAGAGCTCTTGGTCAAAGAGAATTATTGTTGTTTTGATCGTTTAAGGATTGAAAATGGGACGAAATATAAATTAATAGTGAATAGAAGCGGATAAGGTGGAAAATGTAGTCATCTCTCTTGGTGCCGCTGAAAATCGCTTCAAAGGGTTCAACGGGAGATCCTGTCACTAGCTTTTCCAGGAGTGAACTCAGTAGTTTGCAGGCTGTAACCATGAAAATGCTCAAGTTTTTGGGAGATTTTTATATTTATCCCTAAAGAAAATCTCCTGTAGATCACCAAGGTAGGTAATCTGTATCAGTGATTGTGATCGACTCGAGTGTGACTTCCTAACTTACGTTGAAGTCATACTTCTCTGTTAACACCTGATATGGATTACACTTTCTTGGCATTTGGCTACCGAGGCTACTTCGATGGACGTATAGAAACAACATTATATTATAGAGGAAGTGCATTAATAAGAATAGATTCGAGATGCAGTCCGCGACAACCACCAGATGGACCAGTCCATGGTGTGTCATTAATTGATGAGCGGTAAGAAAGATCCACATTGATTTTAACGTGGGTCGTTGAACCGCCCTACGCTCAGTCGGTTTCTCGCTGAATGACCTTGTTAGGACCAAGTGACATATCACTTGACCTGAAATGCTCTCCCATTAGATTAGACGGCCGTTTGATTCGATGCCAAATTCTTCAGAAGTGATCACGTGCTAGATGTCACTATGAAATAAATGAGTATTGACAAACTTTAAGGTTAAAAAAATATAGGTGGCAGAAACATATAGGAAAATAACGAGTATTTAGAAAGCTAGGATTTGCCATTAAAAATGAAATACAGGTTGTTTGAACCTAATGTGAAAAAGTGACAATACTGAAGGATAATATGCATAAGAAATTGTTCTAGTGAGTCGGATTAAAAACAATGGCGTTTATGAGTGACCGATTATTTTTCAGGTTCAGTGTGTAGAGTACTTCGTAATAGCGATGATGCTAAAGCAATGTTACGGCAAGTGCATCACCAGATGATGATGATGGTACCATCATTATCTTAAAGTAGAATGTCAGGCAATATCGCAGTTTTCTGTCCGTACGTGTCAAAATCTATTCAGGCTAATTGAAGCCACAAAAACGTACTTGCAAAAAATCAATCGAGATTTCATCGCACTAAGTTATTGCTCACTTTTTGGTCGAAGGCTAAGGAGCTGATGATGAGGGTCATAGACTACAACTCAAAGGTGTAGGTGACACGAGAATGCCTCCATGGGATCATTAAATGGTAATACTGCACATCAGTTCAATAATTGAACCGAAGAATGTCAAAGATAACATAAGGAGTGTTACTTTAGACTCATGTCACTTGTGTTGGTGAGGGGCCTTGACAATGTTAGGGTAGATGCGACGATGTCGTTTCCAGATTGCAGTAGACCTGCAATAATTTAAGGGATATTTACCTTACAGCACGTGGTATGCTGAACGTCAACTGCCAAGTCATCCGCCCTAGAAAAACGTCGGATAAATCTACATGCTCTCTCCTAATTAGGTTTAGCTGTCGCAAAATATTGGCTCATTAATTCCATACAAAAGCACAAAAGTCACTCTAGACCTAATGCCGTGTCAATGTCGTGTAAGAAGACGTGAAGCGATGGGGTTGATAATAGTTACAGCAAATAACCAGCTAGAGATAGTTTGTAACTCACTAAATAGTTTAAAGCGCATGGAAAATAAGCATGATGTCACTCCACAATCGGCAGATTATTCCATAAATCTAGATGAGTCTGAATATCAGAAACCTTTGGATTAGATACGGATTCTAACTGTCGCCGAAATTATATAGCCTGACAATATACCAGCCGAAGCACCGAAGTCAGACAAAAAAGCATCTGCAAGTATTCTTTACACTCTATTCAGAAACATTTGGAGGCAAGAACAAGTGCCGACAAACTGAAGAGATGGACGCCTCATCAAGTTACTAAAGAAAGGAAACCTGAGCAAATGTGAGAACTACAGAGGAATCACACTACTGTCAGTACCAGGAAACGTTCTCAACAAATTGTTACTGACCTGGATGAGAGATTCAGTAGACACCCAACTTTGAGATCAACAGACCGGATTCCGTAAGGATCGGTTGTGCACAGAACAAATTTCGACACTACGGATCATCGTTGAACCACGGATTGAATGGAACTTGTCATTATATATCAACTTCCTTCACTATGACCTCCGCCTGTAGCTCTTCTACAGTTACTGCCGGTCCCAAGCCCGGGTAAAGGAGAAGGGTTGGGCATGGGATTAGCGTCCCCATCCCGTAGAAAACTAACTCGCTAAAAAAACGCTAACCAGAAAAAATAACTCAAACCATTTAAACTCTGCCCTGGGAGTTAGAAGCTCTTCATTTAGAAGAAATATGACGCCTCATGGTGAAAGCCGAGTTCCTTCGGAAGTCACGAGACCGATGCCCCTTCTAACAACCAGAGCAACAATGTTTACAGGTACATGAGACGTCCGGACAATGTGGGAGACCGGGAAGACCAGTCAAATAACAACGGAAATGAGGAGATACAACTTGGCAATACTGGGAATCAGCGAAACCCATGGGACCCAAGCTGGACAACAAAAGCTAAATACGGGAGAGATGCTGCTATACTCCGGTCACGAAGAGGAAAATGCCCCAAACATTCAGGGAGTTGCTCTAACGGTGTCCAAAGTAGCACGAAATGCACTTGTAGGATGGGAATCTCACGGATCCAGAATCATCAAAGCATCATTCAAAACAAAGAAGGAGGCTATCACAATGGACATTATCCAATGTTATGCACCCACAAATAATAGCAACGACGACATTAAAGATCAATTCTATGAGAGGCTGCAACCAATCATAGAAAAGTGCCCAAGAAAGGACCTCACCATTCTGATGGGAGATTATGGTAATTAGGAGAAATCGACTTATAGTATGAACTAAGAATCCCTGAAATAACGTAATCGAATCAAGAAGTACTACACAAGCACTAACGAATGTACTGTATTTAGAATTCGAAATCAAACATTCAACAAGTACAAAAGGGTCATTAGTTCATTCAAACACCACATCCGCCACAGCTTAAATTAGAGTCTAAGTGTCTGTAATCAGTTGTACGTCTTCTCCTCAAGTTCATGCTGTGTCTGTCCGACAATGTATTGGATAAAGACTCTGTATTATCTAGAATGCACTCATTAATATTAGAATTAACAACTGAAATTGGAACAGACTCACCTGGTTCCTGAAATTGTATTTGATCAACATGTCGATTGTGTGTACTTAAGTCATTGATCTCTAGAAGTCGCACCATAGATTTCCCGACATTCTTCAGAACAATCCCCGTGGATGGTCGAAGATCATTGCCACGATAATACGTAACTACTGCAGACTCCAAATATCTCATATTCGACCGAAGAATTCTTCCTTTATTAGTTTTGATGGAGTCTCTTTCGTCACCGAATATCTGGCATTTCTATATTGCGGTAGAAAGGTATGTACTCCCCTCTCCAGCTTATTAAATGTTGAGACGGCAATAGAATCAATAGCAGTTTTTAACGTCCTGACAACATTTTCTGCCTGACCATTGGAACAAGGACGCCTGGGAGCAGTAAACAGATGTTTGCACCCTATACCATTTAACCAGGTAGTGACTGCATCTGCAGCGAAATGAGAGCCGTTATCAGTCACTAACACCATTGGAACCCCTTCTCGACTAAACACCTTTCTTAATGCTTGAATTGTGAAGTCAGAATTTGGTGAAGTTGTGAAAAAAACTTCAGGCCACTTTGAAAAAGAATCAATAACTACAAGCGCATAATATTTGCCAAGAAACGGACCACAATAGTCTGCATGAATCTCTGCCAGGCCTCAGACGATACTGGCCATGGAGTCCACTTCGAATGCTGATTTTTCAGCTTATGACACTTTTCACAATTGTTTGCTGTACGACAAATATCTGCATTTATCTCTGGTCACCAACATGTGAGCCTCGCCAATGACTTCATTTTTTCAACACCTAAATGTCCACTATGAAGATCTTCTAGGACAGATTTACGCAATGAAGGAGGAATAACAACACATCTCGCCGGCCTGCTTGAATATCTGGGCTACCTGTTCCCCCCATCTAGATATTTCGTCAAGTTATCTGTTTTCTTGTTTGTTCTGACACACTATTATGTCTATTGAGCTCACAACCTATTCAGGCGCGTTTACGAAATGTTTACAACCTTTCGCTGTACGGATTACAAAAAGGTACAACCAGCGACATCATGGTGGTTTGCAATATGCATTGAAACGAATGAACATTATTCAGATGTCGATTATCGAACTCCTAACATCTAACTGGCCATCACTCAATATTTATCGTCAGGATCGATCAAGATATAAGAAAAGGAAACTTGTTGAAATACTTTATGCTGAGAATTCAATAGTGTACCACAAATATAATGTTGAATAAAGCTTATAATAATGATAATAATAATAATAATTTAAACACAAAATACCATCAGGAGTAGTAGATAGCTCATCCCGCTTTGAAAAATAGATAGGAAATCTACGTTTCAGATTAGCATTCCAACCTTTCCGTATAGCATTAATTATACATCCAAAGTATTTACGAGTTTCTCTAGTGAGATCTAGACGTTTCACTGGTAAAGGTTGCACTAACAAACAGTCTGAAGTATTTACAGGTTTATCTTGTAATGACTGTCGAGAAATGTAGTCAACATGTTGAATTTGTTTGGCACTCCTGTGCTGAACCGTATAGTCATAGGCACTCAATTATGCCTTTTGCACACAAATCGTTTAATGTTTTATCCACTGCCTCTCGAAGACCATAAGGA